ATCCTGAGCTTATGATATCAGTAGCATTTCATGGAACAAGAGCATATCTTATAGACAAAAGTCTTATACCAATAGTTTTGTTATGGTTAGACCCAGTTGTTGGATATAACTTCATAACATATGGTTCATTCGATACGGAACGTTGCAGTGAAGGCTTACTTTACATCGTTCAGAAACCGAAGGACTTCAATACAAAGAGATATAAGATAGGAAGAACATATAATATAACTCAAAGATATGACTCTACAGTCAATAGAGTCAAGGTTGTGTTCGTTAATGATATGAGAGCTGCAGAAACAGAACTACTTGAAGTTTTTGAGAAAATGTATGGTGCTCCCATAAAAGGTAAAGAAACGTTTGAAGTAGATGAGATAGATAAAGCTATAAAATTATTTGACGAAGTTGCTGAAAAATACATGTAAAGCGTTTATTTTTGGTCTTTTGTGAAAGTCAGAAAATAACGCTAATTTTATTTTATTTATTCTTCATTTTTTTGTATGTAAGATATGATTTCAGGGATTTTTTTGACGAAGTGTTACTCTTCACTTCGTCAAAAAATAACAGTTATATAATGAAAAAGTGTCATTTTTTTGTATTTTTTTGTATTTGACGAGAATGTTTAGGGTAGAAGGTTAGATCTAACCTGTTTTCTCACCTCTTTTCTCACCTCATGAATTTTCATGATTTCATCGTACATGTTTTGTCAAGACTTCTTCGTAAATGTTTTGTCAAACATGAACGTACATGCTTTGTCAAACATGAACGTACATGCTTTGTCAAACATGAACGTACATGCTTTGTCAAGACTTCTTCATCGTAATGAGCGTAAATCAGACAAAAATATATTTTATGTTAACATGTTAGATCTAACACGTTTTCTCACCTGTTTTCTAACATGGTCTAAAACACACAAAACTCATGAATTTTCATGAATTTCCTTAAGATAGAAAAAATAAAGTTAGTTTTATTTTATTTATTCTTCATTTTGTATGTAAGAACAGAAATGTCAGTCGAAGCACAGACGTTCACGAACAAATCTAATGGCGAAACATTCACAAATGGCACCTATAACGGTATTGAAGTCTTACGTAGAGACAAGGATGGTTATATAAATGCAACAAATATGTGTCAGCAGTTTAGGAAAGACTTTAGAAAGTTGTTGGAAAATAAGTCCTGGGAAGAGTATTATAAGGCATTTTGTGAAGAATATAGCAACCGCCGGAATTCCGGCGGTTGGTTTTTATACAAAATTCATGCGGGAATTCCTGATGAAATCAAACAGGTTAGAGGAACGTATGTAGACCCAAGACTTATAAACTATATAGCAATGTGGGCTTCACCAAAATATTGCATAGCAGTTGGAAAAATTATGGACTCCATAGACAAGAAAGTTCATGAGAAGTTAGATGAAGAAGAACTCGAAGATACAGTAGAGAATGCTAAACCTTTGTTCGAACAAGAAGTTGGAAAAATGTGCGGAAAACAATTAGAACATGAACGTGAGAAATGTTATGGTTATAGAGATTCTCCATACGAACTAGACCAATGGGAACAAGAAGATTTAAAGAGAGAATTTAGAGAATATGAACTCGCTAAGATAGCATTAGAAGCTGCAGAAAAGAAGTTAAAAGTTTGGGGTCGTTTTGTACAAAAATATTGTGAGTAAATGAACCATTTATTTTTATTGAATTCACCAAAAATAATGTTTAGGGTAGAAGGTTAGATCTAACCTGTTTTCTAACCTCATTTCTAACCTCTTGAATTTTCATGATTTCATCGTACATGTTTTGTCAAACATGAACGTAAATGTTTTGTCAAAACTTCTTCATCGTACATGTTTTGTCGAAACTTCATCGTAAATGCTTTGTCAAGACTTCTTCGTACATGCTTTGTCAAACATGAACGTACATGCTTTGTCAAACATGAACGTAAATGTTTTGTCGAAACTTCATCGTAAATGTTTTGTCGAAACTTCATCGTAATGAGCGTAAATGACCCAAAAATAATGTTTAGGTGAAGAGGTTAGATCTAACCTCTTTTCTCACCTCTTTTCTCACCTCATGAATTTTCATGATTTCTTCGTACATGTTTTGTCAAGACTTCTTCGTACATGTTTTGTCAAAACTTCTTTGTAAATGTTTTGTCAAGACTTCTTCGTAAATGATTTGTCATGATTTCTTCGTACATGTTTTGTCAAACATGAACGTACATGCTTTGTCAAGACTTCTTCGTACATGCTTTGTCAAGACTTCTTCGTAAATGTTTTGTCAAGACTTCTTCGTAAATGTTTTCGTTATGCCACTTTGTGCCGTCAGTCAGTCAGTCAGTTTAGGAAATTTACACCAAAAAATATATTTTAGGTGAAGTGGTTAGATCTAACACGTTTTCTAACACGTTTTCTAACCTCTTGAATTTTCATGATTTCATCGTAAATGTTTTGTCAAACATGAACGTACATGCTTTGTCAAGACTTCTTCGTAATGAGCGTAAATCAGACAAAAATATATTTTAGGTGAAGTGGTGAGATCTCACCTGTTTTCTCACCTCTTTTCTCACCTCATGAATTTTCATGAATTTCCTTAAGATAGAAAAAATAAAGTTAGTTTTATTTTGTATGTAAGATATGATTTCAGGGATTTTTTTGACGAAGTGTTACTCTTCACTTCGTCAAAAAATAACAGTTATATAATGAAAAAGTGTCATTTTTTTGTATTTTTTTGTATGTAAGATATGATTTCAGGGATTTTTTTGACGAAGTGTTACTCTTCACTTCGTCAAAAAATAACAGTTATATAATGAAAAAGTGTCATTTTTTGTATTTTTTTGTATTTGACGAGAATGTCGGGTAGAAGGTTAGATCTAACCTGTTTTCTACCCTCATTTCTACCCTCTTGAATTTTCATGAATTTTCCCGAAATAAAAAATAAAGTTAGTTTTATTTTATTTATTTTTTTTATTTTGTATGTAAAGATATGATTTCAACAATCGGCACAACAACAATTCAAACAACAGCACCAAACTCGTTAGTCATGAATCCAACATCTATGTTAGTAGAAATGAAAAGCTTCATTCCTTCTTCATATACTTTCGAAACAAAAATCCAGAAGATAAAGCAAGAACTTTTAACAAGTAATTTAGACTGTAGTGCGAAAGATGAAACAAATGAAGAATATCTTTATGAAATGCAGGACATTATTGACCATTTGCCTAAACTACCTGAAATCCAACAACAAAAACTCACTATTCCTGAATTCGACGAAATTGAAGTGAAACCAACTGACTCAGTAGAAATAAAGAAGTTCATACGTAAGGTAAATTATGAATTCCTTGGTTTTCATTGCAACCATAAGGTTATGGACAAAGATTGCGACATGGTATATAAGAATGTTTCTGACATATATAAATCTGAAGAATTTAAGACCTACGACAACTTTGTTTCGTTAGTTGCTGAATGTGTTTGGGAAATAAGAGATAAAGATAGAAGAGGCAAAGTATGGAACAAACAGATAAAACCAGCAGCTTTTGAGTTAAAGAAAACCATTGACGCCTTAGTTGTTTTAGCAGGTAAGGTTTCAGAATATAACGCAAAAATGAACCCGCAATGTTCTAAATGTAAAGCAGCAATTAGGAAATATAACTACTCCGTCAAAGAGATAGAACGTATGCGAAACGACTATGCAGACTTAAAGAAAGAAGCAGAAAAGCCAGCAGAAGATAAAATGGACATGTTAGAATTTCTGAACAAAAACTATCCAACTGCTGACGATTTCCTATTATCTGACGTCAAGAAGAAGTATAAAGAAACTTTCGGCATAGTTAAAACATTCGATGTACTAAAAGAAGAAATAGAAGCTACAAAACTGTTTAGGATTTCAAATATACATCGTACAATTCATGTAAAACGCTTGTGAAAAAACAGGTGAGAAAACGGGTGAAAAAAACGGGTGAGATCTCACCTCTTCACCTAAACATTATTTTTGTCTGATTTACGCTCATTACGAAGAAGTCTTGACAAAACATTTACGAAGAAGTCTTGACAAAACATGTACGATGAAATCATGAAAATTCATGAGGTGAGAAAACAGGTTAGAAAACAGGTTAGATCTAACCTTCTACCCTAAACATTATTTTTGTCTGATTTACGCTCATTACGAAGAAGTCTTGACAAAACATTTACGAAGAAGTTTTGACAAAACATATACGTTCATGTTTGACAAAACATGTACGAAGAAGTCTTGACAAAACATATACGTTCATGTTTGACAAAACATGTACGAAGAAGTCTTGACAAAACATGTACGTTCATGTTTGACAAAACATGTACGAAGAAATCATGAAAATTCATGAGGTGAGAAAACAGGTGAGAAAACAGGTTAGATCTCACCTCTTCACCTAAACATTATTTTTACTGAATTCAGCACAAAAATCTGAGTAAAATGGCATAAGATTGCTTCCCTCGGAAAACCGAGAGAAGAACAGCGAGACCGTTTTTTTTCTGGGTCGCCAAAACTCTATGAAAACCGAGAGAAGAACAGCGAGTAAGTAAAAAAACCCAGTCGCCAAAACTCTATGAAATTCATGAATTTCCTTAAGATAGAAAAAATAAAGTTAGTTTTATTTTTATTTATTTTTTTATTTTGTATGTAAAGACAGATATGTCAACAACAGAGAACACAACAACTGCTATCGTTCATGAAGCCATAAATGAAGAATACGAGTACATACAGTTTAACAAACAACTCCGTCTCATTCGTTCGGTCAAAGACGATATGTACCAAATGCAAAGTATTTTGACAGCATGTTTTGCTCCAGATACTAAGAAACCACAAGACTGGTTTAGGAACCAAAGCACACAAGAACTTTTGAGCGAAGCACAGCGAGACATACTTTTTTCTGAAAACAGTGAAGAACAGCGAGTAAGTAAAAAACTGCAGTCGCCAAAACTCTATGAAAATCGTGAAAAATTGCCAAACGGTTTGAGAGGATATTATGTACATAGACTTCTTGTAAATGCTGTTGCAATGTGGGCTTCGCCTCGTTATGCTTGGTATATTTACAGACTTCTTGACGAAATTCATAGACAAGAACGTGAAGAGATGGAAAACAAGCTTGAAGCAAAAGACAAAAGCATTCAGAAAAGAATACCACGTTCGGTACCAAAAGGAAAGGAAAAGAACTATAAGTATATGATTTATACTGAAGAGATGGAAAATGAAGAAGATAAAGATATGGTTATGTTGCATTTAGTCAGAAGAAACAACAAAAGCTTTTACGACCTTGCTAAGATTTACAAATCTGACAGAAATTGGTTCTATCGTGAAAACTTACCGATTTCAATGACACCGAATGAAGATGTGAAACAAATAGTTCAAGATACGTTACCTCAAACACACTATGATATGAAAGGTTGTACAATACTTACATTCAAAGAAGACTTACCGCTACTGAAAGAAAAAATAACAGAGTATTTTGACAACTTCAAACAAGCAGAGTAAATGAACTCTTTATTTTTATTGACTTTTTACAATTTGAACTTTGTTTGCGTAGATATGAATTCTGAAAGAAGTATGAGGGTCTTGTATGACTTTGTACTTCTCCCATAGTTCATGTCTGTCAAACTTACCTGCCATGGACTCTTTCATAAGTTCCATGAAATCGTCTTCGGACAATCCGGGGAAAAGTATTATGTCAGTAAGTATTCTTTTAACATCCTTACTTAAACTCTTTGCTGTCTGTACACATATTACGACTGAAATGTTAAAGTGTCTGAGCTTCTTAAGAATTCGACACATGTCTTGTTCTCTGTTCTTTAACAAAGGATGAGAAGCAAAGTCATCTAAGATAAGAAGACATCTATGAGGGTATGTCTTCCAATCGTAAGATTGCAATTTCTTCGAAATGTATTCTATCTCTTTCTGTTTGTTTCTGAAGTGGTGTTTGTCTAATATTCTCTGCATTTCCTCATTAGGTTCTTTAAACTTAGAATTTATATACTCATTTATAGCATTATACTTCAAAACTCTTCTTTGGTACTTCTTTATCCAATCTAACAACTCAGTATCCTTTATACATACTAACTTAGACTTCTTTATAATATCTTTGAACGAATTGACGGTTTGGTCAAATTGACCAGAAGTACTACAAATTACTACTAACTCATAGAATGGGTTCTTCTCATCTAGTTCTTGTTGTTGTGCAGCCATTTTAAGATAAGTGAAAGTCTTACCCGACCCAGGTGGTGCAATTAGACCTGTTATACCATTCTGAGCAAATAAGAACTTGTCATGTATAGGCTTTATCTGAGCATTTTCTAACTTTCTCTTGTTCTTATTTAAAACATTCTCAAATTTCTTGTCAATGTCAGCAAACTTTTTTTCTAACATATTTTTAGAAAAATTAAAATTTTTATCTTTTAGAAAATGTCTAGCGATTTCGCTATCTATATTCGAGACAAGCTTTTCGACAGCAAAACATCTGTCGACCATAAAATCTTACATAGTGTAAACAAGAAAGGTGAATTTGTTCTAAAGTTCTGTTTCTGGGAATATGACAAGAACCATAAAACATTACAAAGAGCAGTCTTAAAATTTGTCAATGACAGACTTGTTGACAGAGATGACGCTGATTGGAAAGATGAAGTCCAACAAAAGTTCTTAGAATGCAAAGAAGATACATGCGCCGTTCTTGAAGATGAAATAGAAAACAGAATAGATGAGCTATTAAAGGACAAAGAACTTTTACATAAATATGGTTGCGCCAAATTTGACATAACTCCACCAGAAAAGAAGAAGAAAGAAAAGAAAGAAAAGAAAGTAGAAGAAGAGAAGAAAGAACCTGAACCAGTTCCAGAGAAAAAGAAATTTGACATGTAAAAATAAAATTTTATTTTTAGAACATTTCTGGGTCAATGTCAATGTTCTCTTCCTCTTTAGGGGCAAACACTGGCTTAGACTCTAAAATCTTTTTATCCAATTTACCTTGAACTTCAACTATCTTAGACTCATAATATTCATAGTCGTCTGCTTTCTTTGGTTCATAAGGTATAACAAGTTTGTATGCTTTGCCTTCTTTAAGGTTTGAGAACCTTCTGTCAAAACTTTCTTTGACTGTTAACAAACCTTCTATGTCTAAGTCTTCAAATTTCGCACCATTTTTAGTCACAATAGCAAACTTAACTGGTTCGATGTTCCAAACTTTGCTGAATGAAGACTTTTCAAAATGGTAGAAGTAAACATTCAAATATGTGAATGGGTCTAGTTCTTCTTTAAGTCCTGACATGTACTTGTTTACTGAGATGAATTTTGTCATCTTTTCTATCGGATAAAAAAATATTTTTTTTTAAAATTTACTCAGAAAAATTTTCTTTGTAATACACCATTCTGAACATCTAAAAGACTTTTGACATTTGCCAAGAATGTTCGTTTAGACGCTGTCATATAACCATATTCTTGACAATATTGTTTATACGAATCGTACAATGACCTTTCATCTAATGACACAAAGTCAGTTTCATCTATGAACAGTTCATATACACTCTTGTTTGCTTCTAACAATGTTTGTCTCTCTTCGGTATGTGGAATTTGTCTTGGATTGAACTTAGAAATATCTAATGTCATAAAATATGAGAACAAGTGGTTGTAAAAGTCAGATGTCAAAGTTTCTGCTAAGTCGTCAAAATATTCTGTATCTTGCATATGAGAATCTGACGTTCTGACAACTACATATCTTCTGTCAGAACTTTCTAACTTCATCGGAACAGCATTGTTTGAAACCATAATGAAGTTTGCAACATTTTCACAAACTCTTTGGTCTTTATATTTTCTTTCAACAACTCCAACTTTATCTGTTATAAGACTCTTCAAAGCATCTGAGTTCAAAACTTTTGTTGTATCTATACTTTGAAGTTCATTGCAAACTATAAGTTTCATATTCTCAATTGAAGAGTTAAACTTGCCACAGATGTTTTCTAAGTTTGTCATATTCGGATTCGAATAACCTTCTAACAGTTTTGCACAAAATATCTGTAAAGAAAGTATTCTTACCAGTTCCTTGTTTTCCAATTATAATGAGAGCAGTTTCATTTTTAGCACTTGGATGTTGTAAGATGTTTGCAAACCAACATAAGATATACTCATAAACCTTTTCGTTTCCATTGCATATAATTTCTTTGACATGGTCTAACCAAGCTTCTATAATATTTTCTTTCCATTCTACTTGTTCATATTTATATCCAGTGAAGATAGAATAGAAGTTTGGAGAAGGTGTATAGAACTTTATACCTCGAACTGAAAAATCTTCTAACTTTGACAATAAGATATCCCAAGCATCTAACATCTTCATGCCAACTTGTACGACTTTTATTTTCTTAAGTTTCTGTCTACATTCTTGTTCAGACACTATTGTTGCTCTTGGTTTGTTAAAGACAACATCCCATTCTTTCATGACATAACATTCTGGGGCAGAGTCAACATAAATGACCAAACGTTTCAAATTCTCGACTGCTTTGTTATAGTCTCTAAATGGACACATATTTCTGAATGCTTGGAAGTCATAAAAATCTGAAACATCTATTCTGTACATTTTTATAAAAATAAAAAAAATATTATTTTTTTATTCTTGACTTTGTTGTTCCATTTGTTGCATTTGTTGTTCTTGAGCTATTTGTTGTTGAAGTTGTTCTTGTAATACAATACTTTCACCAGTTGCATCTTCCAATTCGAAACTTTCTGCCGTCATTGACAAATACATAGGACATAAAAGTTTTACAGGAACAAAGTTTGCGTCAACTAATGTCAACGTTATACTTGCCAAAGTGTTTGAGTTCACTAAGGTTGAAAATTCTGCATTCGAATGAACAATAGGCAAACCAGCAGAGAAAGTATTGTTTATACGCATAAGTATCTTTTGGTCATAATAGTTTCTGTCGACATTCGAATAACACTTTGAACCTAAGTTTGAAACAATATATAAGATTGGTGTGCTTAATGTCAATGGAATAGACATTCCTTGTATGACACCTTTTCCTGTTATAGGAAACTGTTGGTAGTAAAAACCAGAAATAAGTTTTGTATTATAGCTCATATCGTTTATAGTAAACTCAGTCGGACATCCAAACATAATGAAACCTGCTCTAGTTGCAGCACATGTTACACCCGTACTTAAAGTATTAAATAAGTCAACAAAACCTGTTGGTGGTATATCTGAGTAAGTATCTTCAAAGGAGTATTTTTTTACCATTCACAACAATAAAGTCTTCTGGTGTCAAAAGAGCAAAACAGGCTTTAGTCGTCATTGTGTTTAAGGTTAGTTTACAATATCGTCCTTGAGGACTTTGTAAGTTTGTTGTTATAGAATTATATGACTCAGGGTTTTTAGTCGTAATAGTATAAACCATTATGTCTTCTGCCATTTACTTAGCAAATAAATTTTAATGAAATGTTGTGGTCGTCAAATATTTTTATAACGTCTGGGAAACTATATTTTAAGTTCAACGTTTCACCTCCTTTCATAACGTATATCTTGTCAATGACATTATATGAAACACCACAGCAACTAATGTCGGGTTCTATTTCTTTGATGTTTATATCGTCTGCCTCTGTCAAAAGTTTCAATAGTTTTTTCAAAACTTCATGAGGTGCAATGACATATGAGTTCACTTTTACAGGGTTGTGTTCGACCAAGTTTAACATTATACTTAAAGCTTGACAAATCTTCTCCTGAGTTTGAAGTTTGTCTTTCAGTTGTTGGTAGTCGTTTCGAATATCTGCAACAGAACTTAAGTCTCTGTTAACTTCAGGATATGTTGGTTGTTCTTTTACAGGAACAATTGTTATACCATCTTCGTCTTCGTATGGTTTCCCCACTTCAACATCTCTGTCTTTGACATTGACAATAACACTTTGACTGTTTGTTTGAGTTGGTGAATTTAACTTCACATCTGCCACCGCCATTAAACCTTTTGAAACACTTACGCTTCTATTTTTCGGAAATGACATTTTACTTAGAATAAAAAGATGGACGTATTCGGATATCTCTTTGAATTGAAGCAAAACAAAGTTTATACTCACAAACAATACAAATACATTGACAGAATAGTTCTTTACACAAACAATGGAAAATGTTATAGAATAGCAATATTTGCTGAACCAAAATATTTTCATAAAGCAAAGAAAGTTGGTATAACTGAAATGGTGAAAGTTCTTGAAGCAGACAAAAATATAACTTCAAAATTGACCGATATTACTAAAGGAAAGTTTATAATACAATATTATGTCAAAACTGGCGTACTGTCAATATTTGACGGAGAGAAGTCAGTTCAAGAACAACTTACTGACCTGCTGCCAAAATCTGCTCGATGGAAGCTGTCGTTATGCCAATCTGAGGAGCCCCAGCAGGTTTCATCGAACGAATCTTCAAAAGAGCATCTTCCGTGAAAAGTGCTATTGGTTTTGTAAACTTCTTTGCTTTCAATTCATCTGGACCGTCTCTGTCACCAGTATATTGTATTTGTACAGTACCAACAGTTGAAATACCACCCATAAAGTCTTCTGAGTCAGCAAATTGAATGCCAAGCCAAAAGTTTGAACGGTCTCCATTTGTATATTGAGTTTTTTGACCTCCTGTATGAGTCCATACTTTCACATATGGCATAATAGAACTTTGCATTTCAGGGTTAATGGTTGTTGTGAAGTTGTTGTTAAAGTTCATAGCATCTAATGTCAAGTTGTATGACCTCATATCCTCAACTGTAGAATATTCTTCTCTTGGATAATATTTGCCATCTATGTTTATATGATATTTAATACCAGGGTTGTAGAAACAAGAATAGTCATTTATAGTTCGTCTGAACAGTACAAACATAGTATCTGCATGTTTCATTGCAGTTGTTAAAGCAATATCTGTTCTTGCACCTGGGTCAGCACTTTGGTTTCCAACTTCACCTGCAAAGTCTTTGACAGATATTTGGTGTATAGGGAACATAAGTGGAACTGCAATATATTTGGCAGCTAAAGCATTTGAAATATCTGGGTCCAACATATAGACTGCAAGTCTGCTTTCTATTCTCTTGCATTCAAATTTTTCGCATGTGAACTTAACTGGGTCCCAAGCATCTCAGCAGCATTGAAATAATAGTTTACTTCAGTGTTGAGGTTTGAGAAACCAAAGTCTAAGTCAACTTTGTCTTTGCAAAATTCGGCGAATGACGTTTTATTTGTTCCCTTTACGTCTGTAAGAGTGAATGGGTCTTGTGTTGGTGCAATGACTAAGTTATTTTTGCTTGGAGTAAGTTCGATAGAAATTTTTCCTGCCCAGTTTGGCAAGTATCTTAAAAACCTGAAGATGAGGAAAGATGACAAAGGAACTCTAAGTTTCAGTTTTAATTTAGTGGCAGCAGTTCCATCTGAACCAGAAAGGTTAACATAAACTCTGGAACGTTAGGGTCAAGTCTTCTTATTTTCTCAATAGTTGCATACTGGTCTGTTTGTTCTCTAGCTTGTGGTTGTACTGAGTTTCTCAAGCGAACCATTCATAGTTTGCCCATGTTACTGTTTGAACTAAGTCAGAGTTAGAATATATCTTATATCCCATGAAAACTTCTGGAGCATATTGGTATCCGACATAGAAAATTCCATTGCAACCTTTCTTGTCAGACAACTTGGCAGAAGGTTTTATTTCAATGTCTTGTTCCACGTATAAGAATGAGTTGTCAATAGAAATAATATGAAACCTGTCGCAAGCAATATCTACTGTTGTTGAAGAACCTTCTCCAAACTCACCTACGTTTCCATAAGAAACAGCAGTTGTATATTCGTAAGTTCCAGGAACTATTTCTGACCTTCTAATGGCATTGTCGCATTCGTTATACCATTCGGAAACATTTCCGTTCATGGCATCCAAAACTGTTGGCGTTATATTCTGAGCGGCGTACATTTCATATGGGTAAAAATATAGAATAGTTGGATTTATGTGTCATAATTGTTTCGGACCAAGCTATACTTTCTTCCTGACTGAGTTTTTAACTCTTCTTTTTCCTTCATTGCCACTACTTTCACTAGATGAAGTTACTTCTTCACTACTTTCACTTTGTTCTACTCTTCTTCTTTGGTGTCGCTTTTGGTAACTTGCCCTCTGCTTCAAGTTGTAGCATCTTTGCCTCATGTTCACCTAGTATGTTGTAAATTTCCCATGTCCTTTTTGCCTTTGGGCTCTGGTCGCCCATCTCAGGTAACCTATATCCTAGAAAGATTTTGTCATAGTTTGTATTTGAGTCTTCGCGTATTGTTTGCATGACTCTTTCCTGAGTTTCCGGTTCAAGCTCTTCAAACAGAGCTTGTCCATATGGAATAAGCTCGTTTCCAAATATATGTTTTTGTAGCCATTCTGGTTTTCTTTCCATGTTACCAATAATATCTTTTGTGAATGGGAAAGCTTTTACCCAATGTTTCAGTCTTGCGTCATTTATTTCTGTAGTTGGTTTTATTTTGTCATGGAACATGTTTTTCAATACTAACATTTCATTTGGTACTGTCCATTTGAGTTTTCTTAAATATTCATCCCTTCTCGGTTCATTGTCTGCAAAGTAAGTTTTTATGACATTTTGCAAACTTTCGTTTGCAAGGTCATGTACAATAGGTTCTTTCCTTCTCTCTCCCTAACTTTCTTTCTAAACTCTTCACCAAATATACCATCTCTATGGTTTGTGTAGTTCTTTGAGATAAATGTTCTAGAACGTCAGGTGTTATATTTCCATCAGCCATGTTCATTTCATACTGGTCCAAAATATCTGCATCTTTCATATCTTTCAATGGCATTAAAGCCGCGCTGAAAATACCAGCTATATCTGGTTCACCATTCACTTCCATTGCGTCTACAACTTCTTGGAATTGTGGTTGTAAGTTTATGAACCACCTATCCGGATTAGCTTTATGACCCCATCTCATTGTAGTTCCATAGTCTGCAGAAACAAAAGTAGGTTTGTTTCCATATTGGTTAGGTTCTGAATGAACTTTAAACAATGTTTCATTTCTATATGTTTTGTTGAAATTTAACATTTTATTTTCACCGAGTTCAGCCAAAGATTGAACGTTATATGGTCGTAAGTAAAAAGGATTATTGTATTTGCGTACATTTTCTTTCAGTACTTCCATTCTATGCTGAATATTTTCATCTGATGTTGGAGTCTTTTGTATGTCGGCGAACATTTTTCGATATTCTTCTACTATGTCAGCCGAATTTTTCTTAGACTCTTGGAAAGATTCCATATTCACCTCATACTCTTGTTGAGGGTCAAGATTTTTCGGCTGTTCCAAATCTTCATCTAGTTCTGTGAAGTTAGTTTCCAAAGGAGGGACTTGTTCGTTTCCTTCAGGCTCTTCTAGCTGTTGTTTGCTGAACTATTTCTTCCATGTCTGGTTGTATCTGAACTTCTTCCTGTTGAGTTTCTTGTACCTCATCTGCTGGCATTTCATATATTCCGAGACCGTTTTTAACAAGTTCCCTATCTAAGTCATCCGGACTCATAAACCTTTCTTCTTTCGTTCCGTCTCTATTTTTTACGCGTTTCATGAAGAGAGTTGAATTATCATTTAGCTCTGACACCAAATATCTCGGAGTAAATTCATTCATGTCATTTGGATGATATGCTATTAAATCATATCCTTAGCGAGCTTGTATTTTCCAGGTTTAAGATTATATCCCATTTGGTGCTGAACCATAAAGCTAAATAGGTTCGGGTCAGTATTTCCTTCCTTGAACTTTCTAATAGCTTCTTTATATCTGTCACTAAAGTCAAGAGTATCTGGGTAACCATAATCTTCCTTAAGCATTTTTAAGAATTCTTGGTTTCCTTGTTCTCTACTTCTTTTATGTCCTTGCTCTGTTTGTGGTTGTTGTTGTGCAGGGTTTTGAACTGTTGGTTGTTGTGCTGGTTGTGGTTGTTGTTGTGCAGTGTTTTGAACTGTTGGTTGTTGTTGTGCTGGTTTTGGTTGCTGTGCAGGGTTTTGAACTGTTGGTTGCTGTGCAGGGTTTTGAACTGTTGGTTTTGGTTGTTGTTGTTGTGCTGGATTTTGAACTGTTGGTTGTTGTGTTGGTTTTGGTGCATGCCTGTGTCTGTGTCCATGTGACGATGTAAATGTTTTAGGTAGTCCTGGTGCAGGTGCTTCTCTTGGAGGGTTTGGTGGTATATAAGTTCCACCAGCTGGCACATATGTTCCATCTGCAGCATAATGTCCTACCTGACTTTTCGTTTTTAAGAAAGCATTTACTAGGTCTGTTTTGGTCTGTTGTAACTCTTTTTCTTGACTTTCCACAACAGTTGCTCTAACGGCGTCATAGGCACTTTGAACTGCCTGTCTCGTTGCTGCATCTGTTATTTTCGTCATATTTTGTGCTACTTCTTTTAACTCTTTGTCGAAACCTTCAGACTTCAGTTTCTTTCCAGATGAGAAGTCGTTCACTAGTTTCACCTTACTATGAAGAGCTTCGAAGGCGTTCTTAAAGTCAGCATTCATTAAAGCTTCATTTGAACTGTCTTCATCCGCTTGTATTTTTGTCCTTATTGACCCTATAAGTTGGGCTGCTTTAGCGTTGGCTTGGGCATCTAACCAGTCATTATTAGCTTTTATATATTCTGCGCTTTTCATTGCCTTTTGCATGGCTGCGTCGTTATTTTTACTTTCTTGTGCTAAGTTTTCATACTGTACGGTTTGGTTTTGCAACTGTAAAAGTTTTTCTGCCTTTACATTTGCTTCAACTTCTTTTTTATACTCATCGCTATCCATATATGTCTTCAGGGCTTTTTGTTTTATTTCTTCATCTTTCAGTACTTTATATTGAGTAGTATGGTTTTTCAAATTTATAACATCTTGTTCCATTTTTGCTACTTCTGCTGCTTTTTCTGACACTTTTTTCGCATATTCCTCTGTACTTAGTTCTTTCAGTTGTTCTTCTTTCTTCTTTTTCTCTACGTTTAACTCATTGAGTTTCTTTGTGTGTCTGTCATATTCTAGTTTCTTTTCGTTTTCACTTATTTGTTTCTGTATGTCTATGTTTGACTTTTTGACATCTGTTATTTGATTTTTGAGTGAACTCAAATTCATTTGACTTTGAGGGTTATAAGCTGTTCCGTCTGCAGCTCCACCATAGCCTGCCATTTTCGCTAAAAGTGCCGCTCTTAAACCTCCACTCTGTGCACCAATAACTCGGTTTAAAAGCATAGGGTTGCTTGACATTTGTTGCAACATAGTGGGGTCATTCATAATTTGTTGTTGCAACTGTTGTTGTGGTGTCAGTTTTACTATTGGATGTTTCAATGCTCTCTTCCTCTTACGTATATTCTTACGTAGCTTACGTGGCATTTTAAGTGGAGTTAAAAAGCGGTTTTTGTAGTTTAAAACATGCGGCTGTCACTTTTTTGTTTGCATATCTCTTATATAGTGAAAAACGGTTTTGTCACTTTTAAAAAACGGAGTTGTCTGTCACTTTTTAAAAACGGTTTTGGTTTTTATCACCGGCTGGTCGGCTGGGGTTCGGTCCTCCTCTTGGGTCTTGGGCAAAATTCTTAGGGCTAGAAGGGGCGCAGCCCCTGGAAGCCCCTCATACCTGACCTAATAATGATTATCTTATACATTAATGTTAAATCTATATTTTTATCATTAATGTCAACAAAAAAGTTCCGAAAATATGAAATTAGTCAACAATACTATATAAATATGTTTTTATTCTTATGTCCATGAATATAGTACACTTTATATCATTGGATAGGAATCAATCAGGAAAATAATCGATTTTAATTCAAACTATATTTTTATAAAATATTAATTAGAATAATATGGATTACTTAATTACAGAAAATTTTCGTTTACAAATTTTTCTGAGGCCGAACCTAAGATTTTGAGAGTACTATATTTTACACCTTATGGAATATATATATGATTTTGGAGTCTCTTTTGATAAGGAAATGGAATTTTGGGGTAAAATAATTCTAAATCTATGATTCAAAAATTTTTTTATTAAATACGTTTATTCAAAAATGACATTTTTAAATTTACATTTTGGGTTTACAATTTTGGAGAAGCTTTTTTTGGATTTTGGAGATCCCATCGTTATTTCTCCATACGGAATCCCTATAAATATATAAAATTCATTGAGGTCAAAATATTGCAACAATCTGAAAATTTTGGTATTTTTTGACACTTTACAAAAAACATTTTATTATTAAAGGATTTCATTTAAATATCAATAGGAGTATCATTTAGAACATGCTTTTGTTAGAAATATTTCGATCTATTTCACATAAGGATTGGGACGAATTCTATGAACAATCAATTGAATACATACAGTACAGAAATCAAAACAAAAATCTCAAGATTTCTCCTGACAAAAGCTATTACATCTCAAACTGTTACTTTATTTATCTTATTACTGAAGGAGCAATTCTAATCAAAGAAGAATATAGCAAAGGTCTTAAGTTTCTCATTGACACAAGCTCATTTTACAAATGCGGATATAACGGCCCAGAAACGGCTAATGGCGGTTATCATGCATTATGCGTACAATCTGAAAATGGTGAATGTGTTCAAGACCGAATTTGCAGTTTTGGCTCTATAGCAATATCTCAAGGTGTTTATTGTTATGTTTCACATTCACTCGAATCTACAAAGAAGAATTATGTCATTAATTCAGCTATTTCTTCAAGTTGTTCTAATACATCTGGTGCATTTGGTAATATTCATTTGTTTTGTGGTGAAACAACTATGAAATCAATTAATATTTCAAATTCAAAAATAAAATCGTGGAGTTCCTATCATGTTACTTATATAACCAACTCAAACGTAACATATTCAACATTTTCAAACAATACATCAGATGGTACTGAAACATCTCATCAAGGACAACAATCAACTGAATTTAAAATTGTTTTTTGTAATTACTACAAAATTAAAGGTAAGAACATGGCGAGCAGTATTCGTAATATCTATTTCATTAATTGTAGCTTTTATGCTAATTCCATCACAGAGCTATATTTTAATGCAATTGCCGATAAAATTCAAGTTAATAAATGTTACTTTGATATATCTGATCCTAGTACAAGTGGACTTGTCACAATAACAGAGAGTGCCAATTCAATTTATCCAGAAAATATTCATTCACATAGCTCATGTTCAACAGAACTAAAACTTGATCCAACAGAAAAATTAGATCTCACAGAAAATTTAGATTTAATTCAATACAAACGCTATTTCAAATTCCGCAGAAGATAATCGATACCAAAATGCGTTTTTTCATTACAGGAAACTTATTAAACAAAACAAAACAAAACAAAAACAAAAACAAAAAAAATCAAAAAGAAACAAAGATAAAACAAATGACATTGGATGAGATGCAAACAGTCTCACATGATGTTGACACAGAGAAGTTATTGAATAATCTGTCGAAGTTTAAATGAAATATGATGAAATTTTATCAAAGCAGAAAGATGAAGAACCAATTAAAGAATAAAGTTTACTATAACAATCATCATGCTTTCTCATTACTTGAGGATTTAATTAGATTCTCTATTATATTAGACTGCTCATGAAATGATCTTTATTTTGGATTTGATAAGATTGATCTTGCTTGATTTAAAGAGAAAATGAGCGGATCATCATGAAGATTTTCAATTACTTACAGTAGCAGAAACTATAGAAATAAAATTCGAAACAGAAAAATCAATATCTTTTATTGTATATTTACTTTGATCTTATTAGTGTTGTATATTCAATAAAAATTTACTCTATATTTAATAAAATAAACAAAATTTTTTTATTGTACAATAAATAAAACATTAAAAAAAGGTATCAGTTCAAAATACGAACAGAAGAATCATTCTTCCGTTGAAGAGGAAGATTGCCACTTCTCATCATTGATGAAGACCTAGGCATTGATGGTTCAATGATAAGAATAGAAGATTTCTTCATTTCTGGCCAAATTGGTTGTTCGTCTGTTACATCTTTCTTTATCTTCTTATCTTTGATGATGTGAAGAATACAAGCATCTTGTTGTACTTTCAAAACTCCTGCCCAGTCAAGCAAACTTTCTTTTATAGATTTAAGTGAATCTTTCTCATTGATCATGTACAAGAAAGGTTCCGCAGCAAGTCTTGGCATCTCGAACTTATCAATGTAACCACGAACAACACTAACCAAGTGTTCATCTTCTTTGAGATCTGTCTGTTCTATTGGAGTAACTTCGAATCTGATGATTGAATCTCCAAAATTAGAAGGAGCTGGTTCTTGGAGATCCAAAATACCAAGAATCTTGTGATAGTTGATGTGAAGAGCTCTCAGATTTGTCGCTCTTGCCATGAGACATCTATTGACCATTTCGTTCGCAATCTCTCTTATTGGACATGTACTTGGCATCAACAATTGCGATGTCGTGTCAACTTTAACTGAATCAGCTGAAAACTGGACAGAAAAGTTTGTCATCGTTGAATTCGATGCTTCAGGAATTCCTTTGAACAATTGGAAATAAAGCCATGGATGTTCTTTATGTTCTTGTTTCGTTTCTTTTTGAAGAGAACTCGATGTATCTTCACAAGCAATTAAAGAAGCCATTGAAGGTGTCAATTTCGCGTTGATAGGAGTTTTCATTGGTAAATTAAATCCAGGTTGTCTCTTGAACAATCTCATTGAATCTTCTTGTGGTGAATACTCCAATTTCAATGCACTCGCAATGAACTGTTTGACACCATTCCATCTCAGATTTGAAGGGAATTTAACAACAGCGGATGGTTGATTTGGAGTTGCAACATTACACAAAACTACACGTATTTGATGTAATTTTCTCTCCAAATACTGATCAACTGTTATTGGTCTTGATTCAGGATAAACATCTGTATACAAAATACTCTGTAAATTACTCATTTCATTCAAAGATGATGATCTTGAAACATGATCTAAGTTTTTGTTTGTTTTTTCTAATTCGATTCTTGAAATAGGAACATCAGTACCAGGAACAACTTGCCAGACAAGAATTGCTCCTGCTCCACATGCTGCTTCACTTAAATTGTTCGAGGAAACTAAAACAGCAGTTTTCTGAACAGTTTCTTGGAAGCATAATAAAGGTGTTTCTTTTGGAAGTCCTACTGATTCACATGCTTGAATTGCAGGGTCTTCAAGTGGTGTTTCAGGAAGAGGATAAGCTGCACCAATGTAATGGAAAAACGGTTGATCGCCAGGGAAGAAAAATTTCATAAAAACTGTCAGTTTTTGTACGTTATCAAGTTCAATTTTTTCATTTTCTGACAAATCTTGGATGAATGCGTAAGAACCGCCTTGGAACTGTGAACTAAGTGGCTGATCGCTTGGCACAACAATGGATTTAGGAATAGAATAAGGCTGGCACTTCCAAATCCTGATTTTTGAGGGGTCTTTGTTCAATACTTGGGCAGCGGATTCGTAAAGGGAGGAAAGAGGCTTTTCACGGGGTAGATGGATCGCTTGTTGACTCTGTCCCATGAATCCGGTGATCCATTTTTGACAATTTGACTTCAAAATATCTTCTGAAGTTAAATTGATCTCGATCGGGCCATGATCAGCACCTTTGTTCGTCTGTGTGTATTCGTAGTATTCTCTGAGGTGTTTGGGAACTGTTTCGTCAGGAATTGGCTCAAATATAACTGGAGCATCTTCTCTACGAACGTAGATGAGCATATAACCACTGTAAGAGCGTTCATGAGTACCATCCATGCCACCGTAATTGTTTTTGATGGCTTCGTCCGCTGAAACTTTTGTTACATTTTGATCATCAAATTTGTACCACTGTGGATCTTGAGATATCCTCAAGAATGCGTAGTAGTGGCCACACATTGAACCACCTGAGTGTACAAGTACTCCGTATAAGTCGTAAATGTTGGATTTCGAGTGATCTGCGTCTTTAGCGAGAAATTCGCCAAGATCGAGTTCGGCAGGGAACTCAAAGTAATCGTTGATTTTAACTGAAGTGTTTCGTTCATAATCTCTTGCAAATCTACGTAAATGAATATGTAAAACTGAAGGGAAATCCATATACTCTGTTCCCATGACAGCTTTCTGTTTTCCGAAATCATCTGTTTCGTATAAAGAGTCCATATCTTGAGGAGCAAGCTCATTTTGTAAAGATTCGCGTAATGTCTTGCATCCTTTAACAACCAAGCTTAAATCCTTGAAATCCTCGATAATTTCTTTTTTGAAATCGACATCCGTGCATCTGATATATGTTCTCGTATGACCTCTAAACAAATTATCAATCGCTGTTGCTAAATCCGTATGGCTAAGCTTGTATTCTAGCGTCTGCATTAATACTCTGCAGAATTCTTGTACGTCCTGCTGTTGCATTGTCTCTCTTTGGTTCCATCCGAAACTTTTTGTCAATTCTATCGTAGAACCTGCATGTTCGCTTAACTGTAGCTGGCAGAACAGGCGCTGCAGACAAAGCGGTATTGACTTTGAGGGGTCTTCGGTGCCTGTCGTTGGCATATGATAGACAATGCGACGGAAAGCAGGCAAATGGAACAAACTCTGTAAAAGAGAATTCATGTAGCATGTCGCTCCTTGGTTTCGAATGCCTACACAGCCTGTCAATTCTTTTGATGATTTTTCAGGTTGTTGTGGCGGAAGAACAGGTGGCGGCGTTGGGACTTTTTCTCTCGGTACGTAGTGTTGCTGCGGTTGTTGTGTTGGTTGTGTCTTTGGCTGTAGAGGGGCTTTCTTTGGAACCGAAACAGGATGATGCAGATGGATGAGGATGGTGTTATTATCGACAAATCCATCATCTCCGTTGATGAATTTGTTTTGCGCCATCATGTAAGTTTCATATGCATTGATTTTTCCAAAAGCTTTCGTAGACATCTTAGTAACTGACTTTCCAGCTGTAGTATTTTTCAGAGTGATTTGGAATTGATGCGTTTTGGGTCCTCCAGGTGCAGTGTTCAGTACGACTTTAACAGATAAGAACTGTGTCGGGGTGGAGGGCTTTGTACACTTCATGTAGAAGTTCAGATTATCAATAGTAAACTCGGGGGATATGGCTTCCTTCTCGATTTTATCCCAGTCGGTGATCAACCAATCATAATCAAATGGCTGTGATGACCCACCGACACTGTTTTGTGAGGGCGATTTAGGAATGCTTTGTACATCACTCCGTGAGTTTTCGGAGCTTGATTTAGGAAGATTTTTAACGATTGATAGTAATTTTTGAGCTTCGGCCTGAGGATAACTGGCATTAATTTTTTGCTCTAAAGTCTTCTGTACGTCATCAGATAGGGAACCAACTTTAGTGATCACTTGACTTAAGATATCGGCCGAAATTTGATAAAGTCCGTCTAGGTTAACAAAAATCTTAAAATCCTTAACTACGGTATTGAGCAAGTCGTCTGCATTCTTTTCGCTTGATATTTTTTGCTTAATTTCGTCTAATACAGACTGGGAGCTCATAATTTTCTTTATGAGGCTATAAATTTTATCGTTAATTTTGGATTTCCTAATTCTATTCTATTCAACACGAGAAATATTAATAAAATATTCAAATCCGCCAGGATCAATAAAAAATTTAAACGATGATAAATTTTATTCCTCTAATGGTCCTATAAATAATTTCTAAGTTATCCGATAGGAACTCTCAAATGATTTTTTTATCTCACAAATTTCTTTTACCTTCTCAAATAAAAATGTGGCTTCAAAAATATCTCGCTAAATTTGTTTACAGGCCTCCAAGATCTAATTACGATCCGAATTCGCTCACAGATGCAATGCAATCGTTGTCAGGAGAATATGTTGCGCGTATTCCTTTTGAATTAAAAAATTCCAGAGGACTCAAAATTATTGGTTCGATTTACATGGCTACCAAGAAGATTTCAGGAAATCCAGCAGTTTTATATTTGCATGGTAATGCTAGTTCGCAAAGAGAAGGAGCATTTTTAACTCGTCATTATTATGATCTCGGAATTTCAGTTGTCTGCGTAGATTTAAGCGGATCTGGAATGTCCGAAGGTGAAACACTCGGAATGGGCTATACCGAAAGAGATGATGTAAGATGCATCATTAATTTCATCAGGCAAACATACGGAATCGAAAACGTAGCACTCTTCGGACGATCTATGGGTGCTGCTACAGCCGCCTGGTTTGCTTGCGAAAATACTGATATTTCAGGAATAATTTGCGATTCTTCTTATATTTCTTTATGGGATGTCCTTATGGACTTCACATCGAGAAACATCTTCTTAAGAGGACTGGCGTATATTTTGTACCCATATGTTGATAATGCTGTGAAAAAATACGGTAATTTCTCAATGAATGATATAAATTACCGCGATGAGTTGAAAAACGCAACAATTCCAGCTTTATTCGTTCATGCCTACCAAGATAACTTCGTAGGAATCAATGAATCTCAAGAAATTTTCTCCCTTTACGGAAGCAAAGAAAAATTCCTATTAACTATCGAAGGAGGACACAATAATGCAAGAAAGAGATACGTTCTTGAACAAGAAATTGTTTTCCTTTGCAATGTGTTCGGAATCACTGAATATTCAGGAATATCGACCACGGAAGATGACCAACAGATCAGCCAACAGGCACATTTCACCAGTATTGCAGATATGATGGCCCATTAAATTTTGTAATGTTTTTTTTGCAATTAAAATCGGACTTTTTATACGGATAAATCCTTTTTCTTTATGTAAAGAACTTTTTAAGATATTCCGGAATTAATTTTAATGAGAGAACGATCAAAATTTGATTTCTCCAATTTTACTTCGCTTGATCGTAGTAATAAATTTAACTTCTGATTTATTTGGAAAACTGTTGAGGGGTTCCTTCGTGTGACTTACATTATACTCTATGGTTTATTGATCGACCAACGAATAAAAAACAAAATCCGAAGCCAATCTTGAAGTTTATCTACTGAGCTATACATATTCATAGAGAAAAAGGGCATGATATTAATGCACTCTTATTAAAATCTCGATTAAAAAAAATTACCCTATATTTCCAACTCTTGGAAAATTTTCATGACCAAACCAAAAACTCATATGTTGATATATAGCCTATAGATATTCATATTATCTACTTTTCATTGAATTACATAAGATTTAATAATCTCATAAATATTCTTTTTAATTTTCCGAATTCCGTGTGCATTTAGATTGCCTATACCTGTATATAATAATTCTAGAATGGTTTGGTTAGATATTAAGTTTTTTAGATTAATATTTTAACATTTTGATAAAACAAGCATTTGTTCCATTTTAGAATCGCCATTGAACTCTAGTTTGACTAACATGATGTTGTATGATCAAATAAATTCTAACTTCATGAGATAAATTTTGAAATTAGAAAATGCGATATCTGACTCAAATATTTATCTGAACACATTTAACATTCAATGATAAACTAAAGTACTATACAGCAGATTCGATTTGGCTTATATTTTATATAATCAACAAATAATCCTATAAAATTGTGCTATTCACGTTGCTCAAAGATGTATTGAACATTCCCTACTTGTGTATTGATAAAATTAGATATAGATTCTAATGTAAATCGATATTTTGAAAATTCATATATATTTTGTCTTGGTTTGGCATTTGATCGTGTTGAAACCGGAATTGCAATATATATCATCTAAATATATAACTATCAAAATATGAGCTATAGATTTTTAAATTATTCTCCTGAATATGAGTGACTAACATAATTATATTGAATTGAGTAGTAAGAATCATAAATATTAGAATCTGACGATAATTTATTATAACTTTATATAGGAACAAGATTATAAATGATGATGAAAATAAAGATTAAATTTAAATCTGAAAATTTGAAAACATTAAGTGTATATGATAGCATTACAAAATTAAATTTTATGTGGAAGAGGAAATAGAGGAATTAGAAGTATTATGAGAAAATAATAAGATATAAAAACAAGATTCTATTAAATGAGTTAATTTATAGAAAGGAATAACAGTGTGAATGTAGTAAATGAATGTTTTCATGATGTATTATTGAAATCTTAAGTTTTGTTAAGAAGATAATAAGGGAATCAAATTTTGTATTAGGAAGTTTGACCGGCAAGAGTGTATTGTGCACTCTTGTCGGTCTGCATGTCTCATTCCTGGAGACATTGTCACTGCATGTCTCCCGGAATGAGACAATCTTCCGCATTCATAACTTGAATGCGGAAGTTTGACCGACAAGAGTGTATTGTGCACTCTTGTCGGTCTGCATGTCTCATTCCTGGAGACATTGTCACTGCATGTCTCCCAGAATGAGACAATCTTCCGCATTCATAACTTGAATGCGGAAGTTTGACCGACAAGAGTATATTGTGCACTCTTGTCGGTCTGCATGTATCTTACAATCAAAGACACTTTCATACAATCTTTTCGAAGTTAAAAAAAAAAATTAATTATTTCTTTCTTTTGTTTATTAAATCGCCTTACTCACGTACTAATCTCTTTTAGAGACTCTATCGAGCTATCCCCACATATAAACCTGTGACAATAATACATATTTACTCTCTTCATATTCTGATCTCATGACACATTATCGCAAAAACTATAATTATACAACACATCTCATAAAGTCTCATTTTAGCCCTATCTAAGCGTTCAAAACCTATTTTCCACACGTAATCTGATTCTTCTGGCTCCGCTGATTCGATTTCTGCTGTCAGATCGTGAAAATATGCATCACATAAAGAGATAAATGCAAATTGCACAACTTAATATTTTCCTTAAAATTTCTCTTCAGGTTCATACCTAAATAAGCTCTTTTTTTGAAAATTCAATTTTTTCCAAAAATGTATGAATTCAAAAGTTCAGATTATATCTAGTCATTTTCCAACATTAATTTTGTGTTTTAGTTTTTGAGATATTCATTTTATTATACGTATTATTCAGAAAATTAAAAGAATTTGTGAGGGGAAACGGAGGAGATAATAAATATGTAAAGATGGATGAATAGACAATTTGAAAAAAAAGCAATAATTTTGAGTTGTGTTTATCTCTTTATGTGATGCATATTTTCACGATCTGACAGCAGAAATCGAATCAGCGGAGCCAGAAGAATCAGATTACGTGTGGAAAATAGGTTTTGAACGCTTAGATAGGGCTAAAATGAGACTTTATGAGATGTGTTGTATAATTATAGTTTTTGCGATAATGTGTCATGAGATCAGAATATGAAGAGAGTAAATATGTATTATTGTCACAGGTTTATATGTGGGGATAGCTCGATAGAGTCTCTAAAAGAGATTAGTACGTGAGTAAGGCGATTTAATAAACAAAAGAAAGAAATAATTAAATTTTTTTTTTAACTTCGAAAAGATTGTATGAAAGTGTCTTTGATTGTAAGATACATTTAGATCGACAAGAGTGTATTGTGCACTCTTGTCGGTCAAACTTCCGCATTCAAGTTATGAATGCGGAAGATTGTCTCATTCTGGGAGACATGCAGTGACAATGTCTCCCGGAATGAGACATGCAGACCGACAAGAGTGCACAATACACTCTTGTCGGTCAAAGTTTTGCAATCGTTGTGATTGCGAAAGATTGTGCTATTCCTGCATATTTTCTACGAGCCTGCTTCATAAAATTGAATCCTTCTATCCAAATTAAATGCGATTTCGCTAATCTTTCATCTAAAATCACTAATCAGAAGCATATTGCAAGTTAACTTGAACCGGCATGTTCCTCCTATCCTGTCTTTCAGTTCTTTCTATCAGCCATGGTTCACAAGGAGGAGAGCTTTGCGCACAATCAGACATAAGATTGCGGCAGAGGAACCGGGAAGAGAGCAGCTTGAAGCGGTAAGATGTCCGAATGCTGTCTCCCAGGTGTATCTGTCAGGCAAAGTTCACAAGGAGGAGAGCTTTGCGCACAATCAAACAGAAGATTGCGGCAGAGGAACCGGGAAGAGAGCAGCTTGAAGCGGTAAGCTGTTTTCAAGTCTTTAGTTAACAAACTTTAACAAAAGACATCTAAAAAATTTGAAATAATTGCAAAATAATGCCGTCAGGTAATGCGCACCTAAGGGAGGTGTTTTGCGGGAGCTGGGGGTATCTTGGTGAGTACTCAGGAGGCCAAGAAGGGCACCCCAACCGACATTTTGCTGACGCATTGTGTAAGCAACCATTCTGATAACAGCTCAAACCGTCGGGACAAAATAATTTATGAAATTATAAGTCATCTTTCTAATACATATTTTTGGAAGGGCGTAAGATACGCCAACTTAAATATATTATTAAATATGAGAAAATCGCTCAACAAAAAAACAATTCTTTCAAAAAGTTTGACATTGATCTTTCTAATACATATCCTATGGAAGGAGTTTACATTAACAAAATAAAAACCAGTTCAAAATCTTATTACTCCTTGAATTAAAATCATTTAATTCCAAATCCATTCCAAATCCTTAAATCTGTATTAAAATCATTTTGCCAACAACCAACACAATACAAATTACATTTCCATATATCTTCTTGTCCATTTTAATTTTTTATCTCATTTTATTTAATTTTATTTAAAGCATATAGACATCGAGATCCTTTACACATAGTTATATAAAAGTCAAATACATAATAAATTCTTAATTCTAGAGATATCTCAAAATCTCAATTTTTTAATTTAAAATACCTTTCATTTTTCACAGTACTATCACAACAAGCAAGCCATTTACTAATTAACACATATAAGAAAAATATCAAATTACAAAACAACTTTCAATATCATTCGCATCAAATTCTATTTTTTCATAATTATCAACTACATGTTATTATATAATATATGTCGGCGCATATTCCACTCTATACAAGTGTCAGACACACTCACACAAAGCTGTGAGATTCATACCTCTATCAGTAGGACTTCTCAAATCAAGAACACATATGTTTCACTATCGCACATCTGTGTAGGATCTAATTAACCCTTTGGACTGGTACTTCAAAATTTGATAATTTGATAATTTCATGTGATATCATCATTTGCCTTTAAAACAACTGTGCGTTAAACTAGACACGTTTCTCTATCATAATGCAAAATATCAAAGTTTGGGAGACTCCCAAAGTGTCTGAAACTGATCATAAGGGTGAAAAACCGTTTTCCAGAAGTTGGGAACGTAGGGTATTAGTATTATTGAAAACTAAAAGAAATAGTTTATTAATTACAACAATCTTGGAAGTGAAAAAGCCAATGCAAACGGGGTAATAATTATTGCTAACATTGCAAGAGCAAATCCAAAGGAACCAGTGCTATTCTTGATAACAAGTTCAACTCTATCAGATTCCTCTGTATCTAGCATAGTATCTGTCACTCCTGGACATTCTTCAAGCTGAATAATTTTAGATTCTCCTTCTGCATGAATTGGAAGCTTATAATTCTTTGGAAAGCATGAAGACTCGATAACCCTTAAAGTAGAATTACCTTTTGCTCTTAAAATGGACGGGCCACTTGGATTTGTGTTATTTTGGAAATGAACAGAAGCAATTTCAATAGGAGAGTTTTGGAAGAAGATTGCGGCAGTACTTGATGTCAGTCCTCCTCTGTTGTTCGTAAAGAATGTTTCATTAAATAAAATTTCTGTATTTTCTATGAAAAATGCGCCTTCGCTAGCAGTGTTTCCTGTAACAGATACTTTATTCATTTCGATTTGAGAATTTATTGCGTAGACCGCCGCTCCAAATTTTGCTTCTCCGTTTATGAATTCAATCATTTTTGCATCAACAAAAGAAGCATTCAAATATATAGCGCCACCATTAAGAGGGCAATTGCAGCTATGAAATCCAACGTAGCGTAGTTCTAATCCAACAGTTTCGCAGTAAATTGCGCCGCCATCAATAGAATTGCATTTATCAAATAGACATCTTGCTACTGCGATGGCTGTTTCTGTAGCTGTAATGGCTCCTCCGCGTTGTTTTTTGTGTGTACTTAAATCTTTGAAAACGCTTGAGGAAATAACTAACGAAATGTTCTTTCTGGTTAATATCATGCCTTCCTTAATTTCATGCTGGTAAACAATTCCTGATTTGACTTCGAGAGGAGATTTTGAATTTGAAAATACGCAATTTCGAATGTTAATGTTATTAAAATTGCCTTTTATTATCTTTGCATAAGAATTTGTAAATTTGATACTGTTTATATCGAGGTCGCCAAAGGTAAATCGTGATTTTGATGTAAATAGTGGATGATTAGTGTAAGAAAGACTAACTTTCTGCATTGTTTGAAATGTAACGTTATTTCCGTTAAAAAGAGGAGCAATTCGTTGAAGTATTTTATTTGATCTAGCAGAAAAAAGAAGAAAAGAAAACATTTTTTATCAAAAAAGTGACAAAAATAAGAAATGAGTGAAGAATTGAATGAAATAAACAAAAGAATTGATCCACGACAAAAAGATGGGTTCTCTCTACAAGATGACATATTAGTAACATGGATATTTCTTACAAATCAATATACAGATTTTATGAAATACCAATCTACGTATTTAAATAGGTTCAAAAGCTTAGGATTGGCTTATAGCAGATTTTTAGAGATAATTAAGACACCAGAACTTGTTGATAAGATAAGAAAAGAATTGAAAGATGGTATTTTTGGTTATAAAAACATTCCTTTTTCAAAATTCGAGACAATTTACCTTTACAAGATTGTATCATCACTAAATATTACTGATGGAACTGAATTACTGCTAAAATATTCTCAATATTTCAATCCTTCTCGAACACCAACGCAAATTCAACAAAAAATGAAGAATTTAGGAGGAAAAGATGACTAATTCGAAAGTTTCATGGAAGATGTTCGTAAAAACATCTTAGCAATGCCATTATCAGAATTTCCCGGAAACCAGGAGAATTTAACAGAAAGAATCAATAAGATATTAGACAATATAGCGAATAGTAAAGACAAAAGTACAGAAAAATTCGGAATTCAACAAATTTTAGAAAATTCAAAAACAAATTTCGAAAAAAATACACTTGCCATACTAATTGGACAAGATAGGAACTATCCAATCAATAAAACAACTACAATCATTGGTAGAAAGTCTCCAAAAACAAATTGTGACATTGATATTTCAAGTAATCATGAAATTTCATCAAAAGTATCACGAAACCATTGCAAACTTACTTTGTCTACTGATTTCGAGTTCTACATTCATGTAGAAGGAAGTTTCATCCTTGTAAACGGAATATTAATCAAAAAAGATGAAATCGTGCATTTGAAAGATTACGATGTACTTGAGATCGGTTCTCGGCTCTTTATCTTTTACAAAAATCCCGAAATTTGTGGATAATTTTTGAATATTTTTTTTCTATCTTAATTTCATGCCAATATATGCATGCTTATGCTATTTTGCTATGATATATCATAGACATTACATTGAATTTTTAATAATTTATTTGTTTTTTAAATTTTCGAAATATTTTGACTATTTTTGATTGATATTAAATGTTTCTTGTTTGCTAAACAGTTTATTAATTGGAAAATGATAAAAATCTTTATGAATTAGTTTTTTTTGATATAAATTTTGATAAAATAAACTTTATTCTCTAATACATAACTCATATTAAGTAGCAATAACGGATGCTCATTCTTTGTTTACATACGCCAAGCTCAAGAAGTCTAAATTCACATCAAATTCAGAAAATGTTTTACATTTAAATACATTTTATACAATTGATCATCAAAATCTGATAAAACTTCTAGAAATAAGTAAGTTATTTAATTTAATCAAAAGATCAAAATGGTTTACAAAGGATTTAATAATATTTCCATGTAAACCAAACAAAATTTCAACCAATTCAACGTTCCTATATGTCACTTTTGATACAAACCGTTTAATTTTATTTATCAAATAATTAATATGATAATAAAATATGGTTGTTCAAGAAAATTTAGTAAATTTGCAGATATATTTGCTTCAAAATTGAATTCAAATTGAAATAAAATTCTTACGTTTTCCAGTAACTTAACAATAGTTTCTTATTAGCCTATTTAAAGTCCACTTTATTTTAGGAAATTTATATGCTGAAATTTTATTTTTTATGAATGTTGGAAATTTTCCATTGTTATACAACAGTATTCAAGTATTTATTAAGCATCTACACACTGATTTGGCCCCCAAAGATATATGGGCTTTCTTTTATAACAGTTCTCCAAACACAAGACCTATAAGAGGTAAAAATGCTCAAACAATTTCAAAAGCAAACGAATGCTTTATTTATAATGGAAGATTCTTCGATATTACATTTAATAGTGCAATTTCTTTCGAGCACCAAAATAATAAATTTCTTCATTCATATTGCTTGTTTTTTAATTGCAGCAGTAATAAATACGGCGGTGCAATTTACTTTTGTTGTAACAGTTCGATTGTTCAATACAGATCCTGCTGTTATAAATCACAAACAAACTATGGAAGTGGCCATAATTCATATGTTGAATTAGTCGAAGAAACAGATAATAAAAATTTCATTTACGAAAGTTCTTTCAACCAATGTGGAAAAAAAGAAAAATCTGAAACAAATCATCTCAACCATGGCAAAATCGTTGTAAAATCAATCAATACTAGTTTTTGTCAAGCAAAATGGATATCAGGAATAAGCTTTTCAAATGCAATATATTCTAGTTGCAGCGCATATTCATCTTTTTGTAACAACACATCAGATTATATAATCATTGATATTACTATGTGTTTCGATTTGAAGTTTGATTTCTGTAATGTATTAAAAAATTCTCAATCAATGGTATATCAAGGAACATTTAATGTCAATTCTCATAGAGCATTAATAGAAAACTGTTCATTTTTTGGAAATACGGGACCGAATAAAGAATTTTATATATCTTCATCTGCATCTCTCTCAATTAAAAACTCTTTTTGTAATAGATTAGAGTATAATAATCATATCACAACTGAAAATGTTGTGACTAATCAATATTTTATTCATAACCTAACTCATTTTTCAACATTTCTTTGTGAAGCAGATAATTCCTTTTCATTCAGCATTTTCCCAGAAGTTGCCACAGAAATGCCTGCAAAATTAATCTTCCGAATTAGAAGATTTAGAGTTTAATTTCCCTACTTTCTGAAGTTTTCACTTCATGCAAAAATTAATAGTTCCTTGATCAAATTATTGGATCTTTTATTTCACATGTTGGACCTAAAAAGGAGTTAGCAAGGGCCAAGAATTTTTGGCAATTTAGGAATTTTTATGCTTATTATCATTGATATTGATTAGTAATTAATACACACATATAGATGTACATTCTCTCATTTCTACAGCTTTTAAAGATTTGATGTCCAAATTGCTATTGATGGAAATAAATACGAATATAAGAACCCAAAATTTTATAAATGTCACTTTTCTCCAAAATCAAATTTTGAAACTTTTGTGAGAAACTCTCAAAAGTTTCAAATTAAATATAATATGCTTTATTCTCTTGTTATTATTTTCAATATTACAAATTGTGAAGTTTACATTTTTCAGATCATTTATACGGTAAATTATTATTGCTTATCATGTTTAATGTGAAAACAAATTCTTGAGGCATACAAAATTGAATTTATCTGAAAAGTTTGATTACTTTTTATCATTTTATGTATTTCTTGTTTTTTACTTTAATTTATTCAATTGAGATTTCTAAAACAGGATATTATGCAACAAGTATTGACGGTGCAGGCACTCAAATTAATTTTAGCCTCTTATCTCTTGCAGATTATGAATATTATATTTTATTTTGCTCTTATGATCAATCATTGACAATTAACGGATTTGTATTAAGCAATTGCATTTACAAGCTATCTAATTTAACAACTTCAATGGAAATTAAGACTTCCATTTCTTCATTTTTATCATTCGGCCTGTTCCTTATCCCCAAAACTCATGACACACTCGAATATCTATTTCTTCCATCAGGGTCATCAACATATTCAATTTCAAAGTATTCGTCTTCATCAAAAAGTTATTTATTATTGATTATCAATAATGATCCTATCAATATTCAAATTTCAAAAGGGTCCGACGATTCTAACTTAATTTATTACAGCACAGAAGGAAATTTATTTGAACAAAAAATTGATTTTACATCAATACCAAGTTCTAAAATCATTGCAATCAGATATGATCATTCCATGTCCGGAAGAACAGATACGACCTATTCAATTTCAACATCAACAAACTCTAAAACTGTAAATTATTATGATGACAGTGGATCTCCACTTTTCTTCAAAAAACTGATTGTCGTTAACTTCTTAGAGGCAAAGAATGATTATAGAGTAACTTATGGTAGGAATTCGTATTTAGTTTCTTCTTCAAATTCACTCACCTTCAAGATTCCAAGCCATACAGTTATTATATTCACAAGATTTGCTGATTTATCAGGTATTGCCAACGCATCTGACACTTATCTGAATCTGTTTGGCACAGATGAAATATTAGCACTTGATTTTCGTTCAAATGGTACATTGAACATATCTACCATGAAATCAACAGCATATTGCGATTTTGTTGCTTTCAACTTTTCAACAGCTAAGTATGATCATCATCTAGTCCTTGTAGGTACTAAAGCTTATAGGCATAAATTACTTGATGGGGGCAATAAGTACTGTACATACTCTACAGGAGCATCTAAAATCATTCCTGAATCCAACATTAGACACTACTCCATTGATCAATTCGGAAAACGTAAATATGATGAAACATATGATGAAAAATCAATTGATGGACCTTCAATAACAATATATCTTTCATCCTTATCAATGATGAATAATAAAATGACATTTATAAATAACGGAACATCAAATGAAACAAATTATATTTTGCATACTTATTCAAAACAACATTTTTATCAGATTGGCTTTTATTCTCCTTCTGATATAATGACACATGCAGAAGAAGGAGAGGAAATAGATCCTGATAATGCTTCAAAAATATCACCTGGAAAGATTGCTGGAATTATTATTGGAGCTGTTGTTGTTCTGTTGATTATTATTGCTATACCAGTAATCTGTCTGATCTATGGGCACCATTCTACTGATGTTCAAGAATATCCATTACAATCTAACCCTTTGAACTTAAATCTAGAAACAAGTGAACGACCAGTTCAAAAACCGACATATTATCCCGAACGTTCACAACGGACTCAGTCATACTCTCGGCCGCTTGTTAATCCATATCCTCAACAACAGCAAGTACCTTATTATGCACAACCACCATCACCACAGGATGGATACATAACACCAGCACCTATAATGCCATTATATCCTGCTCCTGAAACAAAAGATGGATATCTTTAAAATAACCAAGTATTAAGTTAGTATCCATGCTTAAACTAAATTTTTATTTTCATTTGGAATAAAAATGCTAATCATTAAGTTCATAATTACCAAGCAATTTTAAAAAATTTGTTTCATTCTTTTAATTTAGTTAACAACAACAAAAACGAACATATTTAGCTAAATAAAGTTCTATGTACCACGTCTTTCATTTTTCTTCAATGCATTTGGAAATTTCACCTAAATTTAATATTCAAATATACCATTCATATTGCAACATTGCATATATTTAAGGAAAACTAGATAAAATTACTTCCTCAGAATGATTTGAATACTGATAATCACTGCTATATCATACTTAAGTGACAATTACAAATTATTATGTTAATTATCTTATGATATATGATCATTTAGTCAATATCAAATGTTATGCATTTAGAAATTGAATGTTTCTTATATAAAAATGAAAAATACTAATGATAAGGAATATTTTTAGATAATTATTATAACAACAAATGATGAATATGAGAGTAAAGTCTTTGGCAGGCCACGAGCGCAGGACTGGACACGACAAGAGGTAAATGCTTGTTTGATGAGTCCGCTGCTTGGAACTATCTGATTGATAAATGCTTTAGTACTGTTTTCAATTTTGACTCCACATTGAAGGCTAGAACAATCTTTGAATGCATTATTACCAATATTTCGTACGCATATAGGAATATTAATCCATGAGTGTGATGTACATCCCTCAAATGCGCGAGCAGAAATACTTGTAAGGCTATCAGAAGGAATGAAAATAGATTGAAGATTATAGCAGAAAGAGAATGCTCCTTCACCGATTGTTCTCACTGTTCCTGGAAGACCAAAAGAAGAAACATGCGACGCTGGAGGGAAAATAATAAGGATTGTGTCATCAGGGGTGAACAATGCGCTGGTTATTACATGGAAGTTTTGACTGAGACATACGATGTTTCGTAACTTAGGACAGTTTCTGAAAACATCAACACCAAGTCCGGATGGAGTAAGAACAGAATCTTGGTTGATGATAAACTCAGTAAGTGATTGACATCCATCAAAAGTTTTTGTAGAAATTGTGTTAACTGTTGATGTAACGTTGAATGATGTAATTCCTGTCATTGATAGTGATGAAATACCAAATGTGTTTATCGATGGAGGAAATGTGATACTCTGGAGATTAGCGTTATTATAGAAACATCTGTCTGGAATTTCGTGCAGATTTACGCATTGAGATAAATCAACATTATTAAGTGCACAATTCTGAAAGCATGATTCCTTGATGAAAATTAATGTTGATGGAAAAAGTACTTTGTTGAGATTCGTACAGCTATGGAAAACACCAATGCCAAGATTTTTGAGGTTTCTGGGTAAGTTAATGGATGGTAATAATTTACATCCAATAAATGTATAATCATCAAGAGTGTCAACACTGGAAAGTTGAATATCTGCGGAGGTAAGTCCTATGCAATAGTGGAAAGCATTTTTACCTATTGAGGTAACACTAGGGAATCTGATTGATTGCAGCTTATTACATTGATAAAAGGCATATTTATTAATTGTTTTTACTGTTTGTGGTAAACCTGTAAATACCATAGATATACAATTGTAGAATGCAGACTCACCAATTACTTCGAGTTGGGAATCTGGTTGAAATGTTATCTCAGCTAAGTTAGTTTTATTTCGAAAGGCGTTTTTTCCGATTGTCGTAACTGTTGATGGAATTGGTATTTTAGAATTTTTATTAGGTCCAAGATACTGAATCACCGTTGTATTCTGCTTATTAAGAATGAGGAAATCTTGGTTAATATACAAGTTTGAATTATTTCCAAATTTTATTTCGACATTATCATCAAAAACTTTCCCATTAAGCAACTTAACAGTATCAGGCAGGTAAACAACAGTTAACTTGTACCCAGTAAAACACCAATTATCAATTTGCTCTACATTTGGTGGGATTTCTATTTCCGTGATTTGGGCACCACTAAAGCATGCCTCGTGCAGGATTGTTATATTCTTTGATAATGTAACTTTCTTTAAATAGTTTGTGCAAAATGCGTATGAACCAATATCAGTTACAGAATCAGGAATAACTACTTCGGATATAGGAGTACGATAGAAAACATATGTTCCTATAGTTCTAACAGTGTTAGGGATATTGATAGAAGTAATTTTGCACATACTGAAAGAAGAACTACCAATTCTTAAAGTTCCATATGGAATATTCACATTTCCTGTTAGCTTTGTAGGATATAAAATAGTTATATTATCTTTTGAGATAACTATACTGTTTTCTATCCTAAGTTCTGTGTTTTCGGGATGAATTGTAAATGATTCTATTTCAGTATATTCGATGCAGCCTTGATATAATGTTTTCAATTTTTTCGGAAGGAACAAAGTATTGATTAAAGTATAACTAAAAGAGTTCCATCCAATATATGTGAGTTGTGAATCCATTTGAATATCGATCGTTTTTAATTTTGTACACTTTACAAAGACTTCTTTTGGAAATCTATCTACTAATATAGGGATCGAAATCGTTTGGATAGATTGCATATAAGAAAAGGAACTTTCGCCTAAATTTGTTAATGAATTAGGTAAAATTAAATTTGCAGCTGATGAACAATTTGAGAATGCGAAGTTGTCTATAGTTGTTAATTTAGTGCATTTAGAAAGATCTATACTTTTTAATAAAGTACAGTTATAAAATGCATATTTTTGAATTTGAACGAGATTTGAACCATCTTGAACTATAAAATTTTCAAGAGTTGGAGCACACTTTAAAAAACTATATAAACCTGCATCATATCCTTCGATAATTTGGACACGTGGATCAAGATTAATGGAAACTACTCCAACTGGTGTGTCGACTAAATTATGATAATCCGGTGTGTATTTAACATCTTGAGTATCATATACGAAAGCCAACTAGTGAAGGGTTGCTTTAAGATAAAAAATTCAAAAAATATGGCCAAATAATACCTATCGTTGTTTTATATGATTTGTAATCTTGACCTAAGTTGCATATAATACAAATGACATAACCACAAAAATTTTGAAATTGAGAAGCTATCGTTACAGATCTGATCATTTTTGATCATACTTATGTTTTCCTTGCTTTTCTCCTCAGTTTATTCAATTAATGTAGATTCACCAGGTTATTATATGGAATATGAACATAACTCACTATATTCTATTAATTTTAATCTAAAATCCTACAACAATTACAATTATTATTTGGTTTTTTGTACAAATCAAGATCTTATTACATATGATGGTATTAAATTAACCAGTCGCGTTTATTCAATTAATCCATTAATCTACTCTTTAAATATTCGCGGCTTAAATGGAAATACATTACATTTCGGCGTTTTCCTCATTCCATCAGCATTTAATTCTCTCGAAATTTGTATCACACCAAATAAAGTCCAAACTTTTTCGTTAAATAAATATTCTAGCTACGGATTTCAGAAATTTTATTTACTAATTATCAATTACGATCCAATGGAAGTTGAAATTTCTAGAGGACCCAAAGATTACAACATGGTTTCGTACAGTGCATCAGGAGATCTTTACAATAATGATAATGATATTAATTCTATTCCAAAAACTAATATTATTGCGATCGGATATTATTGTAATCGAAGCCCAACAAATACTACATATAAAATCACACCAATAAAATCATTTTATACTTATGAAACTTATCAATATTATGATTCACGAGGAATTCCACTTTTCTTCTTTAATAAAATTGACATTGGCAACTTTGAATTCAATGATTCTACAATAGCTTATACATCTCATCATTGTGATCTTACAATTTCTCAAGATCTAGTATTCAATGTTGCCAAAGATACAATCATTATTTTCTCTCGTGCAGCAAATATTTCTGCAACTGCTTCTGTTTTTGGCAAAACACATTCTGTTCTAGGTAAAACTAAAATAAAAGCAATTGAATATTTATCAAAAGGTACATTAACTCTTTCTACAACTAGTGAATTAGGATCTTGTGATTTTTATACTTTTAATTATTCTACAGAAAAATGTAATTTTCCAATTATTCTTTCAGGAGAACATAAATATTATATTAAAAATTTAGCATCTGGTTATAAATACTGTGTATTCTACGCTGCTGCACAACGTTCTGTTTCTTATTTAGTTCCAAAAAATCTTGCATATAATAGAATTGAGCCAGATGGAACTGGTGCTGACATTAAAAGATCAGATAATCAGTCATTTTTCTCACCAAAATTAATAGTTTTACACGGAGATATTTTTGAGAACAAAGTTTATTTAGCTGCATATGGTTCTATCTATGATGATAATTATGTAATCGATGGCAAGAACTCAAAATATAGTTTTTATCAGATCTCTGACTACACTTTCAGAAAAGTCAATACTAATTCTAAAGTTGGCTATACTGAAGTGAACAACCGACTTCTAATTTATATCTTTGTTCCTTTTTCAATTGTAACTTTCATTGCTGTTTATCTCGTTTATTATTTTAGAAGACATCGTAAAAATAAGGACCCTGAATTGGAACTTTTGGATCAAAATAATTCTAATGAAGCTCCTCAGTCAAATGATCAAAATGACGAAGGTTTTACTGCACCAACATATCAACTATCCACTGAAAATAATAACCTCGAAAATCCATACTACTAAATGTGTGTTTTGATTTTTTTTTTCAAAGCTCCATACTGCGCTCAAAATATCATTATATATTTATTGTACTCGCAATAAAGTATAACAGCTGTGTTAGGTACTATATGCTGATTTATAATAACTTTACTTTAGATGTCAAAAAATTTAAGAGAATGTCAGAAATTGGTGAGCTGAAATTAAAGTTCTATATTCATCTTTCAAACAAATACTTGCTCCATGGGAAATAAGAACTTTTGTTGGTTCAATTTTTTAAATTTATTATCATTCACTCCATGAGAAACTATGAATATTCGTCAAACATCTGGAAATCTTACTTTTAGATCATATTGATTTGCCTCCTCCCCAGAAATATAAATGAGTTTTCCATAACGATGTCATCATTATAGATATACTATTTCTATTAATTCTGGGTGTCGAATTTAGATATATAACGATAGAGATCCGATTTTTTTTTGCAATTTTATCCAAATCAATGTTTTCCATATTTTCCTCCATGGTTAATTCTATTTTAATCACATCACCTGGATATTATGAAGAAACTGTAGATACATCTGGCTTAACAATAACTTTTTCGCTAAATTATGATTACCGCAACAAATATTTCATTGCATTTTCCACATATGATCCATCATTGACAATTAATGATATCAAAATCAACAGTGAAGTATACTATATTGATAACATAAGTGGTTCATACGATATTGTGACATCTAGATCATCAAAATTAAATTTTGGCGTTTTCTGTGTACCAAGAAGCTACGAATCACTCGAATTTTTGATACGCAATCGAAACGTACATACAAAATTATCAAGATTTTGTTTTGTGCATTCTCAATGATGACTTGATTAAAATTTCAATATCCAAACAAAGTATAGACAGAAATACCATTTATTATAGTACAAAAGGCGATATTTCCCAACCAATTTTGAATATTACTTCAATTCCTCAAACAAATATAATTGTTTTACGATATAATGGTAGGTATCGAGGTGATACTGCTACTAGGTATTCAATTCAGTCTACTTATAACACTCGAACTTACAAATGTTATGATAAATCTGGGAAAAGTTTGAATTTCAACGTTCCTCTCTCGATTTCATCATTACCAGTTAAACAAGATCCATACATAGCTTATGGTCGCCATATTCAGACAGTTTACTATCCAGATGTAGTAAGAAAGTTTATTCGACCAAATACGATCATTGTTTTCACTGAATCGAAAGACTTTCATGGTGTCGCCACAACAAGTGGTACAAGTTTAGATATTCTTGGTACAACTCGCATAAAAGCTATTGAATTTAGAACATCTGGAAATCTTACGTTTAGATCATATAAATCATCAGCTCTTTATTCATTTATTGCTTTTAACTATTCAATGATTAATTGTTCATATCCTGTTGTTATTGTTGGTGACAAAAACTATCAAATTCCACTTGAAACATACGATGAATATTGCGTTATATTACAACTTCATTTTCAACTAAAATTGAATCTGAAGGTAATGTTCGTTATGATTTGATAGATGCAGAAGGAAATGAAATTAAAAAAGAATATGTTTATGAACCCGAATTTCACGTCTTAAAACCAGTTGTGTTTCCATCTAAAACACTCAGTTCATCAGTTGAAAACAAAATTAATATTAAAACAAGTGATACAACAGAAAATTTTGTGATTGATGGGAGTGAATCAGAATATAGTTTCTATCAGATAGGTTCTAATACAGTCAATAAAATTAATATTTATAGTAAAGTTGGTACAGATCTATCAAAGAGGAAAGTTACTGCAATTGTTACTCCTTGTGTTATTGCTGTTGTTGTTATGATTATTTTTATTATTGTTTATAATTATCTAAGAAAGAAAGCATTGAAATTGATTAGAAACAACAATAATAATAACCAAGAGAATTCATTAGAAGTATCATTAATTAATCAACAAGCAACAACGAATTCTCCAAATCCTTATTATAAAAATAATTCATCTGAAGCTCCAGTATATCAAATTCCAAAAGAAAATGATAATTTTGAAAATCCATATGCTTAAGATTGTTTTATTTATCTTATAAGTTCTTTTATGTTTTAATAAAAACTTATATTTATTTTCTGCGAATTATTATTGTTTTCTCATGCTCAATTTGAAAGAAAAACCTTATTAGTTTTGATGAACTTGATATTCTTTTATCATAAACATTTATGAGTTTACTAAAACAATACAAAGAGAAGTAATGAAATGATATGAATAATGATAAACAATTTCATATTTTGTGAAAATATTCTTCTTTATCACTAGAACTAAAATAGGAAATTCTGCTTCACAGAGATATGATGAAAAGTGAGAAAGATTATGAATAGAACATATATTTTGAACATTATTTGTTGTAACTGATCCATATGTTTTATATATTATTCTGTCACAGAAAGAATCTTTAACTGTAATTGAACCAGAAAATAGATGATAAAATTCTACTCCTGGTCCTGTGTTTCCAAGAAATGAACAGTTTTCAATAAGAACAGTTGAATCAACTGCATAAAATGTTCCATAATCAGAATATTTATGATTATTATTCAAAACATTACAAAAATGAAAATCATAGTTACCACTATCTAATTCTAAAATTAAATAATTTGATGTTGTGTTACAAAATGATGAATATGTTACATTACTTAGACTTGTTGGTTGATTTAGAACTATTCCTGAGTCATAGTCTGCTTCACAGAAACTTGTGTTGATTGATTTAACTTCAATATTTCCATGCCAAAGACTATTTGTTCTAGGTTTTTCTAAATTTCCGCATTCATAAAAAGAACTTTCATAAAGATAATTTTTATTATTTGATTTATCAACTAAGTAAACATATGAATGATGTCCATAGGAGTTTGTTTTTGATTTGTAGCCACATGATCGATATTGGACAATCGAACTATCACAGTTAAAGTAGAGAGATCCACCATCTGAATTACTGCTGCAGTTATTAAATGAACAATCAGAATTAAGAAATTTATTGTTTGTGTTCGTAAAATAAATGGCACTATCAGTAGTAATACAGATAAACAAACATTCAAAGATGAAACACTCGTTTTTGGTGGAACTTTTATGAATACTTTTTCCTGAAACAGGTTCTGGAACAGGATTTGCATCATAAAATTGTTGCCAAACATCATTTTCCGACTGAGAACTATCAAATTGGATTCATAAGTTGGTAAATTATTTCAAAAAGTGACAATGCAATTTTTATTTCATCATTTCATAATTATTATTATACAAGAAAAGTTTAAGTCCATGGTAAATCATTAAAGTTGAGCAATATTCCATCATTATATCTTAATAGTGTAAATAAGAAATATCATATATTTATTTCGCAGATGCCTGATTTTTCTTATTCAATAACTCCTTCAAATCCTCTTAAATTCTACGTTCCAAGTTCTACGACAATTGTATTCACTAAAGCAATAAATGTTTCAGGTAAAGTTCAAACATCAGGAACATCTCTTGATATTTTAGGAACTACGAAAATTAATGCAATTGAGTTTACAACTAAAGGAACACTTGTAATTTCAACTAACTCTAAAATAGGATATTGCGATCTGATTGCATTTAACTTTTCAACAAAAGATTGTAAACGCACTGTTATTTCAACAGGAGCATATACTTATGGATTTAATATAAGTAAAACAAATAAGACATATTGCATGCTATATATATCCGATTCATCTGTTATCAAGGCTAATTTAAATATCGAACATTCCTCAATTTCACCAGATGGAAAATCGCTAACACTTAGTAGTCCTTCTATCACAAGTTTTCATTCAAAATCCAAGAATAAAAAGATGATCATATTTACCATAGGTAAGTCATATTATGGGTCTGATTTACTTATTGATGGAAACAAATCATATTATAGCTTTTATAACATTTCAGATTCAACCTCTTCTAAAATAAATATTAATTCACCAGCTGGCTTCATTTGTGATCCAAATATTAATGTCACTGATGGCGATGGTAAATCTAATGTATCAGTTGTTTGGATTATTATTGTTGCTCTTATTATCTTAGGCGGCGATATTTGCATAATTCTTATATGCATGCTGTTTTTACGTAAAAAACGATCAAACTATAAAAGCATGGAGTTACAGTCATCATTATTAAATACGAATCAATATCCTAACCGACATCAAACTGGTCCAGAAGGAATTTATATACCGCCTACTCAACCATAAATTTATCCACAACTTCAAAAAAAAATTAATGAGGAAATTTTAATTCACAAATAAAAATCCTCTTTTTAACAATTCAGCTGTAAAATAATAACAGATTGATTGATATTCATCCTATACTAATTGCTTTGATGATTTATAGCATAAAATTTACAGTTCGGATTGACATTAGAAAAAAATTCATATGAAATATTGTGGAAAAATATTAATATTGAGTATATAAGATTGAGGAACAAATAATAAGAATATTAGCTTTATTCAGATCCGATTTGCGTTTTCAATGATTAAGGGTCCACGGTACATTTTCAATACTATTCAAAAATTGAAAGTAAAAATGAGAATTATCGTTATCGTCTTTATCTTGAATCGATTTTTTGGAGCTTATTCGTTGACAAAATCCCAAAATTATTCTAAAATCAGAATATAAATATGATTTAGATTTATGATCTATGAATAGATATGGGCCATGCCATATAAATTTTGGTCATTAACGATAGCCTTTGTTTGGCCGGACTGTGGACCCTTAATTTTTTTTCTAGAAAACAGGGAAGAAATGAAACATTCCTATCAGATAACTCCGATGAAGGATATAAGAATAGACATATCCAAAGAAAACCAAAGAAAGAATATAGAATGCCAAAATCAGGCGAATTCCAAAATAACTATCAAAGTGAACAAGATGGTGATGCTGACATAGATGTTGGAAAATATCGTGTTGGAAATGCAATAGACAGGATTAGTGGCTTTGGCTAATTCTGATAGAATATTAGTTTTTTATGAAATTATTGTTTATAAATAATAGTGTTTAATAGATTTTCAAAATTTTTGTTTGACTTTTTTTATATACTACCATTTCTGAGATTGCCTTAGAATAATTATATCTGTAAGGGATGAGTTATTAAAAAGTAATCATCGATATCAATATATTAAAAGGAATGTATGATATAAGTGAAAAATATTACAGTACAAATATGATAATACCAGAGGTAGTGAAATATTTTCAGGACTAGGACTTATTATATTATCTAGGAATTCCAGTTTCTTCATAATTTTTAAAAATTTATTGTTGTAATAAGAAGAAAAGAAGTTATGAAAAAGAAAACTCTACAATCAAAGAAACACTATTAAACTCAGATATGAATCAAGACCAACAAGAATCTATATGAGCAATTTTCGAAGTAGTAGGATAGGAAGGGGTGTGTGACTTTTTTTGTTACGTCTATATATAGATGAAGGTATATTTTCACATTTTCTATATATAGATGATATAAAAATTTTTTCTTACGTTTTTTAAGTCATGAATTCGTAAGAAAGCGCGACATTATTAAATAAATTAGTAATAAATATTATATACTAAACACATTTTAAAAAATTAACATTAATTTTAAAATAATTTATTTTTTTATCTTTTATAAAAGAAGCTATATATAGATGATGTCAGATATTCCGCGATTAATTAAACATTGTTTAAATCCTGAATGGGTTAAACTTCAATTTAAAAATGAAGATTGTGAATTATTAAATGAATATGAAAGCCAAAATAAGCTAATGAGGTATAAATATAATGATAAAGAATATTTAATTTCATGGAATCAATGGAGTCATAATCAAAGACCTCATAAACGAGAAGAAGAAATTGAAAATAATGAAATGGAAATCATTGATGACATTAAAGAGGATGGAATTCCTAAATTTTGTAGAAAAACCTTTAGAACTAAGTTAGGAGCATATAAACGTAGAGTATTAAATCCTGAATATCTTAAACATCAATTTAAAAAGGAAGACTGTGAATTATTAAACGCTAATGAATATGAAAATGCTAAATCAAAACTGAGATATAAATATATTGGAAGTGATGAAAGGTGTAAAGATAAAGATAAAGTTTATTCAGTTTCATATAATAACTGGCACACGTTAGGGATAAGAAAACATTTAGGAGATTATGGTAAAAGTTCCGAATTCTTCAAATCTAGTATGTACGAGAGAATAAAAGAAATTAGAAATAATTATTTTCATGAATGAAATAAAAAATAAAAAATAAACTTTAAACATTCATGTCTCAGAATCAACATAGAACTTTAAGAAATTAATGATTATTTGAATTTATGAAATCAATTATTTGATTCATTCTTTCTTCAATCTCTTCTATTCTTTTTGTTAAATCATCTATTTTCATTAATGAGGTGATTCTTGATTGAGGAATAGATTTCAAACTAACCACTCCTTTTATTTTTGAAATTTTGAATCCATCAACTTTAAACATTTTATTCAATTTACATGTTGTCAATTCTTCAAATAATTTTTTATTATTAGCATAATAGTCATTAAATTCTTCAACAGATGAAAAAATTTTTATTTCAGTAATTGGTTTAACAACATTTATTTTTTGTTGAACATTTTCACTTTCATTTATTTCTTCCTTCTCTGTTTCATTTATTTTTAAAATTGGTTTCATTTATCATTAAATAAAAATTAGAATATAAGTGATGAAATATATTTTTTAATTAATATTAAATCAACTATGGCGGCAGGATTCTTTAAAAAATTATGGGATGGAATTAAGAAAGCTGCAGGTTGGGTTTATAAAAAGATTATTAAACCTGTTGCAAACTTTTTGGCACCAGTAGCGAAAACGGCAGGAACTATCATAGGTGGAGTATTAGGTACTAAAGCAGGTAATCCGGCGATGGGAGCACAAGCAGGTAACGCAATTGGTGGAATTGCTGAAGGAATACCTAATAAAATAGGAGGTAGATAGTGGAAAAATAAATTATTTTAAAATTATTTTTATCTTAGTATCGGTTGTAGTCTTTGATAAACTTTTTCTCCTTTATTTAATACTTCTCTTATTGGGGCAGCTTTTGGCGTTATTGATTCAGCAATGTCACTAATTGCTTCTTTATTCTTAAATATCCAATTTGCTCCTTTCTTCATTGTTTCCCAAACTTTATGCGCTCCTCTTTTTACTTTATCCCATAATTTTTTAAAGAATCCTGCCGCCATAGTTGATTATTTCATTAAAATTAAAAATTCATTTTCATCTTTTAATTTTGATTTTTTATTTATTAATAAATGACGACTAACTATTTGGTGCCAAACACTAAACCGATTAATGGAAATGTATTTCATTCATTCGAAAAGATAAATGAAATATTCGCAAAGAATGACGGTAGAAGATATTATAGAGAACTTGAAAGTTCATGCTATGACTCTGATGCTCCATATTTTGATGATAAACAAACTCATTTAAGAATTACAAATCCGGCTCATGATGTGAACCAATTAGGTGACACATATATTAAACGCAAAGTTAAAGCAACTCTAGTTTCAAATAAAGCTTTCACATGTGATGCTGCTTTTAAATGCATGCGTTTATTCGTTGGTTACAAATCATCAAATCAAAACTTTAAACAATTAGAAGTAGAAACCGAAAGAGGTGATGCTGGTTATCTTCAGATGGATTGCGCCCGTGAATCTTTCGCATTTGCAACATATAAACCAAAATCAGAAAGGAAAGTTAAAAAGTTTGTTCATTCGTTATATAATAATGTTCAAAAATATGATAACTCAGTATGTGGTAAATATATTGACCCTTCAGAAGTTTTCAAGAACGCAAATGAAGAAGTTGATGTCACTTTTGATATGATTATTCCGGTAAATGATTTGTTAGCATTTCAGGCGTTCGATGATTATCCTAAATCATTTGGTGATATCATTCTTAAATATTATGTTTTCAGGGATACTTTAGTATTTTGTCAGGTTGACCCGTTAAGAGTTGCTGATTTACAAAATTACGTTTATGAAAAGATAACTGATGAAAATTATGAAAAGATTATGAATCATGTTTATAAATATGATCGCAAATTCCAACAAATCGGACTTCCTGCCAAATTAATTACAAGCTTAGCCGCTACATCTGCTGACGCAACAGTTGGTGACGTTATTATTTCATGCACAAAGATGGAAGTTTTAGAGGATAAATGCATTACACCAGGATACGGTTTAATTGAAGAATCAATTAAAGCAATACCACGTTTATTCAGTAAGGAAGATCCATTCATGATTCCAGCTCAACATATTGACGTTCGTTTACTAAATGGAGGTTGCATCACTCCTGAAGGTATTAGCTCAGATTTCTCATACGCTCTTCATAATGTTACAGATGTTGTGTTAACATTTCCGAAGAATGCAATGCAAAGAACGGTTTTAGAAAATCCAATGCTTCGAGGTCTTCAGGTCACTATAGATTCCAGAAACTTCCCCGATCAAGCGATGACCACAGTGGGTGACATATTCTTTACACGTATGCTTCAAGCTTCTGATTTAGATGGAGTGAATGAATGCACAGAAGAATACGAGGACTCATTAACTAGACCACTGAATGCAGATGAATGGCACGCCATTAGCTAGAACATGGAAAGACCAAACTTCATTCTTATGCACTATTCCAGTTCAACGTGATGGAGCGGGTATATTCTTTGATGGATTAGAAACTTTCAACTCACAAGTTACAGTACAAGTGAAAGCTTATCCAATCATTCAGGGTGTAAATGACACTTACTGTTCAAAGGTGACAAATCCTCCTCAGGTTTGGTTTACTAGGACTACATATTGGACATGGACACCGGATGAAGGTTTGAAATATCATCCAACAGGTACACCACCACAGTATAGAAGTTTATATGATGAAATATTGATGAATAGAAATGTTTAAAACTATAAATTTATTTTTGATTAAATGGATTTAAATTCATCCACCCCTTATGAAGAATTAGCAGGAGTATATAATACATACGTAGATGATATGATTAATGAAGCATTGAGTGATAATAGAAATGCTCTATCTAAGGAAAAATTAATGAAAATTCCATATTCTGAATGTTACTTAAATTCAATCACTGCAGCAATTGGTAAACAAAATAAAGGTAAAACATTAACGATATTAAAACAAATTATCATTATTGCTAACACTTCCCCCATTCACATGTGTTAATTTATATCAACCGTTCAGGTTCACCTTCAGATGATACATTTGAATCTTTAAAGCATTTAATCAAAATTCCAATTATTTATTTATCACAAGAAGAAGCAGAAGATTATTTAAAAAACTTTTTAATGTATAAAGAATTATATAATACAATCAAGAAGCAAGGATTAGAGGATAAAATTATTGATAAACAACGGGATGAATTATTTGAAACACTTTCTATTTCAAATTTTGATAGAGAATTTTTGCATTCACTCATTTTTCTAGATGATGCAGTGAAATCAAAACTAATAACAAATGAGAAATCATATTTTAATCAATTATTAACTCAATGTCGACACATTCAGTGTTCATTCTTCATGGCTGTTCAATACTTCAAAGCATTAAGCACAAACATTAAATCAAATCTATCAACCCTTTTCATTTTCAGTGGGTTTAGTCGTCAACAGTTGAACGTTATGCTTTATCAAGTGAATTTACCAATGAGCATTAATGAACTTTACACACAATATCAGCAATTAGGTGAACATGGAAAATAATAGTTGATTTAAATAAAGGAAGTGTTAAATTTGATTAACTTTTTATAATTAATTTTTATTTTTTATTTATAATTAAACATGACAGAAATAGCAAATCTTCTACAGGTTCCATTAAAACAAGGAACAAACAAAAGGGTGCATATAATAGAACTATGAAAGTTCCTGATGGAATGAAAGAATTAGTTCATATTGTTGCTGGTCTTCAAAAAGATGTTAAACAAATGAGAAACGTTTTAACATTACCAGAAGCTCAAGCATATGCCAAACGTCATGGTCCAAATTGGGAAGCACACGAAGCAGACATTACGGGTCCAGATGGAAAACCTGATGGTATAAATGAAGTTTTCGTTACTGATGGTCAAGGTAATATTAAAGTCATAAATGGTTATAAATTAACTATATCTGATTATCCTAAACGTAAAGCATATAATGAACGTTATCCTATGCAATTTGATGAAAATGGAAAAGCTGTTAAACAATTAATTGGAGAAGGTGAAAATGGTCCAATTAATTCATACCGTCATAATCCATATTCTTATTTCAATGAAGAATTAAATGCTATTGAAGAGGGACCGGATGGATTACCACGATATTCTAACCAGTTTGATGGTCAATATGCAAATATTAGACCTGAAATTTCAGCTAAGAAATTCTTTAAAGTTGCTTTATTCGATCCAGTTTTCGCAAATGTTAAAGATGAACTTAAACAGCAATTCCAACCAATTATAGTAGCAAGAATTGCATCAGGTGCTTTATCTCAAGCATTCAAAGATTTAATTAAGAAACCATTATATCAGCAACGTGGTTTAACTTATGATTTAGTTAAGGAATCAGATAAAAGAAAATTTGAGAAATCAGATGATTATAAGAATGCAATTAATGAATATATTCGGTCTATTAATTTCGATGAACAGCTAAAAATCAACTTCATGAACAAATACAGGGAATAATAGATTCAAAAGTTCCAGCAAAATAAAAGTTTAAATATATTTTTTTTATTCGATTATAAATGAGAAGACGTTTCACTAGTCAAAAGAACACTAACGCAAAAGCAGAGATTATGGTTGGTTATAACGTAAATGATGATAAATCACGAATTATTCAAAATGTTAAAGTTAATGTTAGCCCTGAATTAGCAAGGTCAGCAACTCAACCAAATTTATTAACTCGTGACTTACCGAAGAATGAGGAGAATGAAGAAAACCATGAGAATGGAGACCCAATCATTTTATCTGAACCCGGTAAAGAACCTGTTGAAATTCCCACTTATCCAACATACCCCCACCTCTTTCATCAAACATCGAGAACCCATATAAAATAGACATTAATTCTGAATTAATGAAAATTTACCGTGATATAATAATTAATAATTATGATTCAATAATAAATTTAATTGATCAATCCGGTTTAATTATTTTACCTTATGAATCATTAATTCACATTATCGCCATTCTTTGTGATGTTCAAGATTCAGACGTTAAGATTCAATTTTTCATAGATGATGAGGTTTCATGCTGCGGAACAGTTGCAAAAATAAATCCTATAAAGGATATTAGCACAATTAAGATATCAAAGAACGGAACAACAACTGAACTTCATTTAACATATAATGATATTTATAATAAAATAGTTGATGAATATAAAAATCACTTGAAAAATTCTTTGTTAAGGCTATTTAATATTCAAGCATTAACATTATTGAATAATAATCCTTTGAATCATAATCGATAATAATTGACTTTCACCAGTTTCTATCGTTTGTTTTATTTCTTTTTGTTCCCCACTATCCGGATCGGTCATTGTAATTGTTTTTGTTATAGTATCAGCTTTATCTTTAACTTCAATCTTTTTTCCATCGGGATATTTAAACCAAAATTCCAAAAATTCGATATTGTCAATCTGTTCATATTTTAATCTATCAATTACATTTTTAATACCATCTGAAAATCTTATGAAATGGTCATTATATGGGTTTGATTGAACTAAATTTGAATGAAGTGAAATATAACCTGTTGATGAATATGACATTGACTCATATTTTCTGAAAACACTAAAATTTATAACATGAATGAATTTCTTATTCGTTGAATTTATGAATTCTTGAGGTAATCTTATTCTAGTTTTATTTATCACTGGAAAATAACGCTTTACCATATTTTTAATCGTAATAAAAATGTCAATTATCAATATTATTTCGAATAATAACTGTGAATTAAATTTAACAGTTAGCGGAATTTATAATGTTACTCTCGTTTCTGTGAGTGGTAAATTTAATCCCATTCTTTTAGACCCTTCAGATTATATATCATTTATTAAAGATGACCATGAAAAAACGTATAATATGTATATAAATAATGTGATAGCGAAATGGGATATTAACATGATTTTAAGTTATTTAAATGAATCATTTATCGTATGGTATGAAGAAAATTTTAAATCAAAACCTGATAAACTTTTTGAACTTGATGAAATAAATAACCTTATTAAATTTCCGCTGAAAATTAAATTTTGTACTCCTCATCTTCGTTCATTGTTGGGGATATTAAATTTTGAAAAAGATGTTGGGGATGTTTTGTATTCTGACACCGGTTCCAATTTCATTTTAATCAAATGTGATAAAGTTAATACCCCAATGAGATTTTCACATCAAACATTAGACCCTAACTCTTACCCATCAATACAAAACATTTTATCCATCAACTTAAACACATTTTCTTTATCATATCCGTTTCAATTATCCGGGAATTCATTTATTCTTCATTCAAAAGATTTATCAAATATTAAATTTAGAATAACTGACCTATTTGATTGTGATTTAGAATTCATGAATGAGATATTATGGCAATTTCAAATAGAAAAAATAGCTGATGAGATAACGGATTAAATATTTATCAAATATTAAATTTAGAATAACTGACCTATTTGATTGTGATTTAGAATTCATGAATGAGATATTATGGCAATTTCAAATAGAAAAAATAGCTGATGAGATAACGGATTAAATATTTATTTTTAAATCATAATAAATGATTAAACAACAGCAACCACAGCAACTTAAGGCACAAAGCACCCAGGTCCTTCAGACCATTACATACGCCATATATGCATATAATTCAAAGACGGCAGAACAAACGCAAAGGTTGAAATATGGAGATTTGGAGATAGTATTGAAAAATGAACATTTCGAATTCGTTTGCAAAGGTGGTGCAGTGATATCAAATATAAAAGAAATTTTATTTATGAATTCAAAAATTAAAGGTATAACGGATGATATAACATCAATTCCACCAGAAGAACAGAGATATTACGCATTAAATGCATTTCCTAAAGTTTTGAAGATTGGAAGATTTAATTTAAATGAGGAATTCATAGAAGGTTTCCTAAATGACATAATGAAGAAGGCAGATAAGGAATATGTGGATAGTGAGTTAAATAAGAAGGCAAATTTGGTTTATGTTGATGAAAAAGATAATGAAATTAAAGAAAAGGTTGAATGGTATCATGAATGGACATTTGAGACTTTTAAAGTTAAAGCTGATACAGAATGGGTTTCAGCATGTTTAGACCTTAAAGCAGATAAAACTTATGTTAATACTGAATTAAATAAGAAAGCTGACAAAACAGAGCTTCAAACATTAAAGACAGAAATACTTCAAACATTATATCCTGTTGGTTCTATTTATACGTCAATGAATTCAACAAATCCATCAACAGTTTTAGGTTTTGGTATGTGGAAGCAGATTGTAGATAAATTCTTATACTGTGCTAGATATTCAAAGCAAACAGGAGGTTCGAAGAAAATTAAAGAAGCAAACCTTCCACCACACACTCATACAGGAACTACAAACTTTTCTGGCGACCATATCCACTCATTAAGAGACCACCCATTATACAACTCAGAATATGAAGCTGGCTATGATGTTTTATCTCCAGATTATAACCATTCAGCAAAAAAGACTTTTCGACAAACTGAACCGGGGGGAAATCATGTCCATACATTCACAACAAATTCAACAGGTTCGGGTAAAGATTACATGCCACCATTTGTGACTGTATTCGCATGGTACCGTATTTATTGAACGCGCTTGAGCCCAGACCTTTGGGTCAAGGCTTACCGAATGAACTAAATATATTTTATGTCTGTAATTAATTAGGTAATGAAGTAATGGATGAACTGCAGAAATAAATGTTTACGTTAAGTGACTCAAAGAGTCCGGAGACAAAGTCTCATGTTTACGTTAAGTGACTCAAAGAGTCCGGAGACAAAGTCTCATGTTTTTAGGTTATTCAATAATTAATTATTTTTGAAGAACTGAAGGTGCTACCATGTTACCATGTGCTACCATGTTGATTAACTTCTTTTAAAATTACTGACAACATGACATTTTGACAACACAGCAGGAAATAATGTTTAGGTTAGAATGTTAGATCTAACACGTTTTCTAACCTCATTTCTACCCTCATGAATTTTCATGAATTTTATATATTAATGTTTTCGTTAAGCCACTTTGTGCCGTCAGTCAGTCAGTCAGTTTAGGAAAGACTTTAGAAAGTTGTTGGAAAATAAGTCCTGGGAAGAGTATTATAAGGCATTTTGTGAAGAATATAGCAACAGTCCGAATTCCGGCGGTTGCTTTTTATACAAAATTCATGCAGGAATTCCTGAGTTTTGGTTGAAAGAATACGGTCGAGCCACTTTTGGCTCCACCTCAAAACAAGCATTTTATGAGCTTACTAAGGGCGTTATAAATGAATTCAAAGGTATTTACATACATCCTGACCTCGTTCATTTTGTTGCTGAATTCAGCAAAAATAATGTTTAGGGTAGATGGTTAGATCTAACCTCATTTCTACCTCATTTCTACCCTCATGAATTTTCATGAATTTCCTTAAGACAGAAGAAATAAAGTTAGTTTTATTTTTATTTTTTTATTTTGTATAAAAGATATGATTTCAACAATCGGCACAACAACAATTCAAGCCACGAACGGCGGGACTCTGTCCACAACTACGGCACCAAATTCATTAATCATGAATCCTACGTCAATGTTGGTAGAGATGAAAAACTTCATTCCTTCTTCATATACTTTTGAAACAGAAATACAAAGAATAAAGCAAGAACTTTTAACAAGTAATTTAGACTGTAGTGCGAAAGATGAAACAAATGGAGAGGAGCTATATGAAATGCAAGATATCATAGACCATTTGCCTAAATTACCGGAAGTTCAGCAACAAAAACTAACTATTCCTGAATTCGATGAAATTGAAGTTAAAGTTACTGATTCAGTAGAAATAAAGAAGTTCATACGTAAAGTAAATTATGAATTCCTTGGTTTTCATTGCAACCATAAAGTTATGAACAAAGATTGCGACATGGTTTATAAAAACATTTCTGACATATATAAATCTGAGGAGTTTAAGACTTACGATAACTTTGTTTCATTAGCTGCTGAATGTGTGTGGCAAATAAGAGATAAAGACAGAAGAGGTAAAGTATGGAACGAACAGATAAAACCAACTGCTTCAGATTTAAAGAAAGCCATTGATGCTTTAGTTATTTTAGCTGGTAATGTTTCAATGTATAACGCAAAAATGAATCCGCAATGCTCAAAATGTAAAGCAGCAATGAGGAAATATAACTACTCACTAAAGAGATAGAAAGAATGAGAAACGATTACGCAGACTTAAAGAAAGAAGCAGAAAAGCCAGCAGAAGAAAAATGGACATGTTGACATTTCTTAATAAAAACTATCCCACAGCTGATGATTTCCTTTTATCTGATGTCAAGAAGAAGTATAAAAGAAACTTTCGGCATTGTTAAAATTTTTGATATATTAACTGAAGAAATAGAAGCTACAAAAATATTTAAAATTTCACGAATTCATAACGTATATCACGTTAAACGTTTGTAAATCTTGAGGGTAGAAATGAGGGTAGATATCAGGTTAGATCTAACCATCTACCCTAAACATTATTTTTGTCTGAAAAATGACCAAATTTCATGAATTTCATTAGTTAGAAAAATAACGCTAATTTTTTCTAAGAAAATTTTTATTTTGTATGTAAAGACAGTAATGTCAAACATTGAGTTTGAAACAGTTAGAAAGATTGACAATGACACCAAAGTGGTTAGAATAGGTGATTTAAACGTAAGATACTCAAAGAAATACAACAAATATTCTTTGTCAGACATTATAACACTATCTGGAAAGAAAAAAAGGACTGGGTTAGAATTGCTTCTACTCAGAAAATTTTGACAAGAAATCCTGAGCTTATGATATCAGTAGCATTTCATGGAACAAGAGCATATCTTATAGACAAAAGTCTTATACCAATAGTTTTGTTATGGTTAGACCAGTTGTTGGATATAACTTCATAACATATGGTTCATTCGACTCAGAACGTTGCAGTGAAGGCTTACTTTATATCGTTCAGAAACCGAAGGACTTCAATACAAAGAGATATAAGATAGGAAGAACATATAATATAACTCAAAGATATGACAGTACAGTCAATAGAGTCAAGGTTGTGTTCGTTAATGATATGAGAGCTGCTGAAACAGAACTGCTTGAAGTTTTTGAGAAAAGGTATGGTGCTCCCATGAAAGGTAAAGAAACGTTTGAAGTAGATGAGATAGATAAAGCTATAAAATTATTTGACGAAGTTGCTGAAAAATACATGTAAAGCGTTTATTTTTGGTCTTTTGTGAAAGTCAGAAAATAACGCTAATTTTTTTTCTAAGAAAAATTTTTATTTATTTTGTATGAAACGACAGTAATGTCAACATTAGAGAACACAACAACTGCTATCGTTCATGAAGCCATAAATGAAGAATACGAATACATACAATATAACAAACAACTTCGCCTCATTCGTTCGGTCAAAGATGACATGTACCAAATGCAAAGTATAATGAATGCTCTTCGTTCTACAAAGCAAGCATATCATTGGTTTGAAAACCAACAGACAAAAGAACTTTTAGAAGAATTTCCTCATATGATTGCTTCCCTCGGAAAACCGAGAGAAGAGATTCCGTACGAAAATCGCAAGAATTTGGCTCCTGGTTTGAAAGGATATTATGTTCATGTTTGACAAAGTGTTTACGTTCATTACGATGAAGTCATGACAAAGCATTAGCGATGAAGTCATGACAAAGCATTAACGATGAAGTCATGACAAAGCATTAACGTAAACATTATTTTTGGGTCATTTACACTCATTACGATGAAATCATCATGACAAAACATTAACGATAAAATTTATTTCCCCGACTGTTGTCAAAATGTCATGTTGTCTCATTTTTTCAGAGAAGTTAATTAACCTGGTAGCACATGGTAACATGGTAGCACCTTCAGTTCTTCAAAAATAATTCATAAATGCCTTCCTCCTTTGCTGTTGTCAAAATGTCATGTTGTCTCATTTTTTCAGAGAAGTTAATTAACCTGGTAGCACATGGTAACATGGTAACACCTTCAGTTCTTCAAAAATAATTAATTATTGAATAACCTAAAAACATGAGACTTTGTATCCGGACTCTTTGAGTCACTTAACGATAAAATAACTGATAACAAATTTTTATTTTTATATAAATGAATACCCCACAAGCTCAAAATTTACCACGAATCATAACAAGGGAGGAAATGATAAAAATGATGCGAGAACATGTTAAAAATAACAAACCACTAAAACTGAGAAAATGTGGTTATGCAGTAATGATGGAAAGAGAGATGTTGTCAAAGAGGAATAAAAATTAAATTTGGATAGAGTTTAAAAATTCATCTTTATTAAATTCATCTCTTCCAATCAATTTATTTATTCTATTAAATTCTTTTATTTTTGCTTCACTCAGTTTAAGGATTGAACGGTAAGTTTCTAACTTTTCAATTATTTCCTTCTTCTCTTTATCGTTTTCAATTACTTTAGTTTTATGGGCATCAACCCCACCGCATTGTGGCTTCTTTTTGTAATAGCATATTTTTGATTTAATTCTGTTTAGTTTCTTTTTATATTCATCGTCAGGACTCTGAATCTTAATTAAATCAGGACTCTTGACTGCTTCGTTGTCACTCATTTCTTACGAAATAAAAAAAATTAAATATTATTTAAATATAATGGAGTAATAAAATAAATCGGAATTTCTATTAATTTATTGTCAACTTCAACTAATGCATTGCCGTTAATATATCTAACAAATTCAGCTATTGTGTCAAATCTTCTTCTTCTTTTTGTCATTGATTTATCAGTTTTTCCATAATCGAGATGAATCAAAACTTTATCCCCTTGTTTAAAATTCATGAGCCCCGAATTAATTTGTTCACGTTTAACATCATTTAACCTTTCCATTTGCTTTCTAATATATTCCCATTCTTTTGAAAATTATTTTTCATTTCCACTGGTTTCATGTTTATAGTTCTATGCCATGTATTATTGTAATAATATACTAACTGTTGTATGATGGAGTCATGATTTCCATCCAGTATATCTGACCGTTAACCCC